CTTATAGTAATATTTATCGTTGGTTGGACTTCTAACACTAGACTCACCACTGATCGTTGGCTGCCTTTTGTTCTGTACTTTTCCCAGAGATTTGGAAGCCTTTCTGGTTTCCAAGAGGTCCTTCAGTCGGCTGGGCCTCCACAGGCCGCCTCCACCGTGCGGGAGATCGAATCCTTGGAGATCACCTGCCCAAGACATGTCGCCGGGACGTGTGGACGTTGGCCGATGGAGACGTGCGCGCGGTGATTGTTGCATTGACAAGTGCGAGAAACAGTTGTTTGGGTTGGCCTGGCGAAACAAAAACGCCATTTGTGTTCCAAAACATACAAACATAGTCAACAACAAAACAACAACAACAACAACAACAACAACAACAACAACAACACCAACAGCACCAGCACCAGCACCAGCACCAGCACCACCAACAACAACAACCACAACCACAACCACAACCACAACCACCACAACAACCACAACAACCACAACAACCACAACAACCACAACAACCACAACAACCACAACCACAACAACCACAACCACCACAACCACCACAACAACCACAACAACAACAACAACCACAACAACAACAACAACAACAACAACAACCACAACAACAACAACAACCACAACAACAACAGCAACAACCACAACAACCACAACAACCACAACAACCACAACAACCACAACCACAACAACCACAACAACCACACCAACCACAGCAACCACAGCAACCACAGCAACCACAACAACCACAACAACCACAACAACCACGACCACAACAAACACAATCCTTTTGTTTGATTATCATATGAAATGATGTTCACGTTGTTTCCCGATGACCCAACCGGTGTGGGTCGTCTCTTTGGACGACGACGACGACGACGAAGGACGAGGACGACAACGCAGACGTCGCGTTCGAGACAGGGAAATCCTGCACGTGATATAGCCCTAGGGTTCCAAGTACCTTCTCAGAAGCTGAGGACGGAGACTATCTATACAAACCTGGAGGCTGGAGGGCCCAAGTACATTCTGAGAAGGTATGTGGATCCCTAGGGTAGGTATAAGTATAGGCATAGGTTAGGTCCTTCCCAGTAAACCTGTAACAGTCAGTAAACAATTAATATACTATATATAGGCATTACCATCCACTGAGGTCCTGGTCATAGGATAGACCCAAAGTATAGGTGCACGTTATAAGGTCATAGGTACCAATCAACCACGTCATAGGACCTGAGTACCAGATAGTCGAACTAGTCAAACCTTTGCCAGCACTGCACCACAGAAAGGGTGTCCATTAATAGCCCCGAAAAGAGGTGATTCGGGTGTCCATTAACCACGCCGGACTGGGGTTCCAGGTGTTGGTATGGCGCCATGCATTTCAAGAGCGAGATCCCCAATCCATGGGCTTTGCTAGTGGTTCGACGGTCGAATTTCCTTCTTCCAGGGATTCCAACAGGTCGAAATGGGAAGTCTCCCCCTATTTGATTCCACAAACCAGGGCACGGTTGACCACCGACGAACCGAATGGACTAGTGACTACTGCGAGGTGACCACTTCGATACCAGCGTCCCTGGTCGATCGGGGTGTAAAATCGCCCCGACCCCTCGAGCTTCGGGTGTCCACCACCCACTACTACTCGTGGGTCGACCACAGCCTCCAGGTCAACTTCGGCTTGATGCGCTTTTGCTGCGACTCCGGACGGCTCCACGCAGCCGAGGCGGTGAATTCGGAACGGCCGGGGTGAAAACACACACCGCGTAGCGCGTGGGGGGAGGAGAGGTCAAAGACCGAGAGTCATAAGAGTCCTTGAATTGACATCTCCTCCGGACTCGGAGTCCTATGAATTGTCCATGTATGGATCTCCTAGACTCTATGAATTGTGAAGACCGAGTCCCTTGAATTCATGTTGAGCCAGAATGTAAGAGTCCTTGTGGCGTCGCTGCATGCTGCATCGGTCCGACCGGGGTCCTATTGATCTGATAAAAAGGATCCAGGGTCCCATCCAAGATGCGACCCCCTGTCCTTGATCTCTAAGAAACAGCACGCTCTTAGACCCTCCTTTTAGGTTTAGAATGTGTCGTTATTTTGTGTTGAACAGTTATCAATGTCACAAAAATCACATGTTTTTGAAGAAGGTTTGACTAAATCACTAACAAATCACTAACTCGGTTAGAACCCGTAGCCAAAGGAACGGGCATGTTCCAGCCGCTTGCGCTCGATCAATGTCCACAGGAGTGCCAGGAGTGTGGCTCTTGTGGAGCGAAAGCGCCGCGTTCCTCGGATGAAATCAACATGAAGAAGAAAAAGGGGAACGGTCTGGGGTGACTTCCCTGCATAGGACCACATGGAACCTGAATATTCGGAACATGGTCGAAACCACCGGTCAATTCTCAGGTTCCATGTTAGAGTTGGGGGGGGGTATTTGTGGTTTCCAAACCCTCAAACATCCCTCAAGCTAATAACAAACTGATGACCAACTTCAGGAATCAGATTCCTTTTGACCACCATCGACACTTTTTGCCGAGAATATCTACACTCATATAGATTCATAGAGTCATGTTTACATGGTGATCACTTGGCTGCTTTCCATCTTTCCATAAGCCGGCCGACCTTCCCATGGGAACGGGTAGGGCTCACCTGGTGGTCCTTTCAGGTGGGACTTTGTCGAACGAAGTGTTTTTTCCCTTTAGCCTCAGAGAGCTATATGCTACTATTATACTAATACCATTGGTCCAAAGCTGCTTGGATGTGCTTTTACAACACAGTTTACATGTATGTTGTTTTCAAAAACTTCCTGGATGTGTTTTTTCAAATTCAAACTGCTTGGATCTGTTTTTCTTTTGTACAAAGCTTCTTGGATGAGAGAGTCCCGTTCTGCTCCCGCATGTGTTTTGCAGATGTGCCGTATTGGAATCTAGGAGCTCCTGATTTGAAATGCCAAGGTGGGAATGATCTCTAAGACCTTCAAGATGTCAGGAGTTTCATGGAGTCCTGGTGTTTTTTCATCAGACCTTTGAGTAATCTGCCTGTTAGAGGCCTGAAGGTGCTTGTGAGCTTTTGGAGACCTGGGAACTTCAATTCTGCGAGATCCAGAGGTTGTGATCATATGCCCAGGGTACCCCCTAATCACCATGAAGAAATTGGACACAAGAAGCATGAGAAGGACAAGGCCTTTTCACACTTGCATTTCTCTTTGGCTCGCATGGTGTGTGTGTGTGTGCGTGCGTTTTTGAGGTCCAGAAAGTAATCTCCCTTGCGGTACCTTGGCCCCCCACCCAGGAACAGCAGCCCCTTTGGATGCGAAGCCAATTCAGCTGCTGAGGAGTTGGGTTGAATATTCCAGGAAAAACATAGCTGTTCGGTTGATTCCACTAGGCATCTGGAGTGACGTTGCCAAGTGACGTTGCCAAACTCATTTCCCTTCGTTTCGGAACCACTGAAACCGAACCACTGAATCGTGAGGCTGGCTGTTCCACTGTGCTTGCGGTTGCGCGTGTTTGCCTGGCCGACGCCCATGCCTGGCCGCCAGGATCAGCGTGAAGGGCCAGGGCTTTCTGAAGCACATGGTCCGACGGATTGTTGGGCTGCTGGTGGAGGCCACATTGCGAGGTTTCATATCAGCATCAGCTGCCCAAGTGACGAAGAGCAGGACAACATGCTTAATTATATAACCCTTTGCAAGCTTTAGGGCTTGAGTTGTTCCGTCATGTTCTTTTGGTCCAATTTCCTTCACAACAAACGCTGCAAAGAAACACGCCAAACGCTCGCAACATGCCACGCCCTGCTCGCAACACCCAGCGATGTGCGGGCTGCTCGGGCTGGTCCTCCCTGGAGCAGGTGGGTCTCCACCAACGCCCGCCCCTGAAGACGCTGGCCGAGCTGGGAGTCGAAGCGGACGATCGAAGAGCGCACGGGCGACCCCCAAAGGCGCCGGCGCAGGGGCTATGGCTGGAGAAGGTGGCTTCTTGGTGGACCAGGCAGTTTGTTTTTGAAGAGTGAAGGCAAGGGACCAAGGGACCACGCAGGTTAAAAAGGGAAAGGATCCAGTTGACATGAGTTGACTATAGTTTAGTCACTGAAAGATGTGAGGAAGAAGACCTTGTAAATGGATCTAAGATAATCTAAGTGTATCTTTAGAAGTGAGATGTTGTAGTTTGAGTATGTTTGACTCACCATTTTTGACACCCCAACATCCTCTAAGAGCTTCTCAGGAGGTATGTGGATCCTTGAAATCTATAGGCTATAGTTGTATTGACAGCATAGTTGTATTGACAGCATTTAATTTTAATATACTAATATATATATATATAATTTCAGAAACCCCTCTTTTGTTGTTGCTGTTTTTTGTGTTTCTCTCTCTCTCTCTCTTTGTGTCTTTGAAGTTGACTTGTTTCGAGCGGAGCAGTTCGGCAGCCGAAGTTGAATGGTGATCAAGTGGGTGAAATGCTCTATGCCGAATCGGCACCTACTGTAGGACCGGATAGAAAAAAGGTTTGGTTCTTGGATGTTCTTAGACCTTCCTGGTCACTGGTCCCTGGAAGTTCGTTTGTCTCGCGCACGAGTCTCGTCTCGTCTCATCTTGCGAGACCAGGCGACCAGGCAGGGCGCCATGGCGCTCATCCCCCACTACAAGGGGTGCTCCGGCTTGGACACATGAACCATCATGAACCATCTCCTGAATTCTAAGGAAGTGGACGAAGCACCTGGCTGCAGTGAAGCGAATCCCGCCGGTGGCGCCGTCGGGTGAAAAAGGCGCCGACGGAGCCGCCGGAGCGGGGCAAATGGCACCAGATCAGGTCGACCAAGGGAAGGGAGCGGCGACACCGAAGAATGTGTACGACGCACCAAAAGCAAGGTGTCATGATATGTCGTGATATATGTCATAATCATTCAAAAAGTCTGTATGCCTGTCATCCATCTTGCGACTCGAAGATAGGACAACTGGGAGGTGGACATCTTGCAGGAGGGACCCCTGCCAAACATTCCGCTGCTGTGCCGAGGTGGTGGGAAAACTGGGCTTTATTTGCCACTTGGATCCGACACTGAGATCGGGGGGGTGGAAAAGGCGCGGTGGTTCTCGTTTTGGCCGCGTTTTGCGGTATCGGCCGACAAGAACACGACTTGCAAGTGACATGACTTGCAACGTAGTATCATGTAGAACAGTTTTATATATAGTTTTACAGTTTTACTATAGATGTTTGTGTGCTTGTTCTTTTCCTGTTTGGGAGTAAGGCTTGTGGATGTTGTTTGTTCTGCCGGTGTTTCTTTTGAGACTAACGGGCCAACATTGGGCAAGCTTGTAGGGGGATTCATTTCTGGTGTTTGATCACCAAACTCAGAGATGTTGGTCCTGTTTGCAATCCCTTGGTGCGTGGGTTTGTGGTCAGTAGTGCACGACAGCCGATTCCAAAAAACGCTCCTTGAATATACATGTTTCATAGCCGCAACGCCTGCAACGTGGAGCTACGCTTGGCCCATTGGAAGTGATGTTCCTTGCTGTTGAGTGGTTCCAGATGGTGCTGCCATTTGCTGCTTCCACAAAACCCAACTGCCGAGGCGTCTTGGGCTTCCTCTATGTGCCAGATTACGGGGGCGATGAAATGGGCTGCACTGGGCGCTTGGATTTCTGGTTCTTGGGCAGCTTGGCAGGCGAGCAGTGACCAACCACCCCCCCAAGACATGCGGCAACTGAGCTCGGAAACCAGCAGTGCACGAAGGAACTTAGCAGTTTTGGGCGCCCACTTGAGGCATCCAACAAACCCGAAACTGAAGCGGTCGTCCATGGTCCAAAATCCGGGCGCCGGCCCCTGGGCCAGCCCGTGTGTCGCCCGGAGGGCCTTCGGTTGTAACCGAAGGTTATAGAGCGACGCCTCCCAGCGCCGACCACCTCCGGTTCACCCCCGGTTCACCCCCGACCCACCTCCCAGCCTATAATTTACAGTGTTTCGTGTGTGTGTGAAGTACAACACACTGTGGTTTACAGGATTTTGTGCGCATCACAAACAGAGACGCGGCGAAGAGGGAGAAATGCCAAAACGCTGTGTTTTTCAAGGGTGGTGTCGGTAATGCGCGCCGCGCGGACAGGATTAATCTGCATTTTGTAGGTGTCGGGCGCGCTCCAACATCAATGGCAGAAAATGTGCTCCAAGATGATCTGACAGAGGCCCTCCAAATGACCCAACAGAGGTCCCAGATATGGCACACATAGCCGCACGATGACCCGACATAGGTCCCAGATATGGGAAACATAGCCCCTAGATGGGCCAAGATAGCCAAGATGTGGCAACATAGGCCCCACACAGTCTCAAAGAGAGAGAGAGAGAGAGACAGAGACAGAGACAGAGACAGAGACAGATAGAAAGATAGAAAGCAAGAAAGAAACAAAGAAAGATACAAAGAAAGATACATACACCCGGGCGGTCAGCCCCCTTCCACATTGAAGGATGTTGCCGGGATGCCGGGCTTCCCGGCCCCCGTCGCCTCATGTTTTTTGCCTCTATCCCCTCAATACCGTCCTACTTTTGCCCTGTGTTGGGCCGGCGCCCGGCTGTCAGGCGTAAGCCTTAAAGTCGGTCGTCAGCGGCGGCTGAACCGTGGCCTGGGTCGAACCGAAGCCACCGGACACAGGGACAGGTGGCGTTACATGACGTGAGACTCCAGGATCTGTTGGAGAATCAGTTGGGTGTGTCCCAGACCTCATTCAAGACGAGTTTGATCCAGTAAAACCTGGGCCTGAAAACCTTATTGAGTAGTGTCTTTGTATGATCAACTTCAGTGAAGTGAAGTGAGGTCTTTGACCTGTGGGGCCTGTAGGGTAGAAGGTTTCTAAAGTCAACCAGTGCACGCGTGATGCATCTCAGGCAATTGGTCGTTTAGCTGCGTGGTGCCCCAGGGGTGAAGCATTGTGGTGAAAACAATCAAGCTGGGACGTGGCAGTGATTCAGGGAGTTGTTCATGATTCATGTCTTCTTAGTATAGAATCAATAGGCTTGGTATGGTTTGGTTTTGTTGGTGTCCAGGTCAATACAAGCCGGCCCTAAGACAATCTAATCCAAGACAAGTGCCAGAGTCTTCCATGAATGCCAGCGTTACGGCTGGAAAAAGACCAAGCATGCTCCAAACTCTGTTTGTTTGCCCAGTCGATGCCCGCCTTTCTCTCCCCTGGAGCTCTATAGAAGGTGTGGGAAGGGTGCCAGGAGGGTCCAAAGACCGGTACTTGGAGCATCTGGGAACCCTAAGGCCGGATGTTGTCCCCTGACACCTCCCTTCCTTTCCTCCTCTCCTCTTGCCTCCTATCACAACCTCCATCCGCTGTTTTCAAGGCCAGCGGGGACGACCCAAAGTGTTTGCGCCCACAACACCGAGAGGTTTGAAGCTCAACGTGCCGCGCACCTTGCGGTTCCAACTCTTCTTGGCCTCTGTCAAAGGGCACCTTGGATCGACTGGGACGGGCTCGTTCCGTTGAACGCGTGTGTGGCGTTGGTGTGGCGCGGTCAGTGGGCGTTGGCGGCTCGGATCCAGGGTGTTGACATGGCCTGACATCGGCATGAAAGAAGAGCTTGGTTGGCAAAAGCCAATGATTGGGGGAGATATTGGATTTTGTATATGATCTAGTAGTGAAAAGAGATGGTTGGCCAGCACCCAGGGGTGCTTGGGACCTCGGGAGGCTTCCGACTGAGATCCGAAGATCCAGCACCTGTTCCCTATCAAGAAGAGGCAAGGGACATGAATGGATAATGACTTGTTTCTCACACAAGGAATGAGTTGTTTCTCAGGTGAGAAAATATCAGTCATTTCTCAGTCACATCATATTACTGTACTTTGGTATCTTTTGTTATCCAACATTTCTCCCGTCCAGGTCATTATTGCTTGTGTTCGGCCGGGTTGGGTTGTCAACCCAGAAGCCTGTATACAGTCGGAGCCGATGCTCCCCCCAAAAAAGTGTTTGGATCGTCTTGTTGCGGAGCTTTCGCCACTTCTCCGGTCTTAAGCCACTTCTCCGGTGCCACCGGCAGGTTCATTTCTGAATTCTTGGTGCAAGAGGTTCTGGATTCAGAGATTCGGTTTCCAATCCCGAACGGTGAAGAGTCATGCGACTCCTCATTTTGATATGCGAAGCCAGGAACTCCAGCCAATACCAAGCCTTCAGGGGTGGGTAGTGCTACGGAGGAACACATGGAAACACCAGCTGCTGGGCGGACATGGGGGACGTGCGAACACCCGCATTGGAGCATTGATACCCCAAAGGACAGCAAACCGGAGGTTCGGACGGGCGGCTCGCTGCAACAATCTGTAGAAGTCTCAAAGATACTCTGCTGGTTAAGGCAGGGTACTTTAACATACTTTTAACCACATCTCTACACTGCCTTCACTCCTCAAAAATGCTCAAAGGCCAATTTCTATCAATTTCTCCCATTCGATTTCCCCCTTTCGCCCACGCTTGGGTCTCCCAAAGCCCCAAAACTCGTGGGGCAGACCGGCGTGAAAGAACCCCAGGCCCTTCTTGATCTCCGGCATTCTGGGCATCTTCAAGAAGACGCTCTTGCCGTCGGGAGCCCCAACGACCGGCATCGTGGACCGCAGACGAGGTGAAGATCAGCGTGTGCCACCCGTGATAGGAAGAGCTCGATAGTCATGTTGTAAGGAGATATAACGTCTAGCATTGTGTGAGTGTGTTATTGTATGCGAGCCACACGAACTCATGCCAGTCCTTGTAGAGAAAGGATAAAAAAGGATAGACACGGGTCAAGTTAGTTTCAACTTAGGATTTTGTTGGTCAAATTATTGAAAAAGAGTCAAACTAGTTTCAATTCAGCCCAGGCAGGCCTGCTGAGAACAAATATAATCAATTTGATTTCAGCTCAGCCCAGCCTGTTCAGAAATTGAGTCAACTCAGACCAGACCAGTCCTTTTGAGAAAAGATACAAATTAATTTCTACTGAGTCTTTTTTGCGAAATCGATTCAAACTAGTTTCAACGCAGCACCTTTATTTCAAGACATCGAGTCAAATTAGTTTCAACTCAGCCCAGTCTTTGGGAATGGGAAGAATTGACCCAGAACGTTGTTTTTTTTGGTTTGGGGGGGGAGCCGGGATTGAAACAGAAGGTTGCAGGTCGACATGATAAACATCAACACCGGAGTAAGTTGCCTTGGTTGACCCCAGAAGGTCCCAACTCGTCTCCAGCGTCTTCTTTCAGCGAGCGGATGCGGCTTTCACCAAGAGAGGTTAAGTGACCTTATAGGACCCTACTGGGGTACCTATGGGATAGTCTATAGGGTCACTTAACCTCTCTTGGCACAGGATTCTTCTTGAGAAGTTGCGGAGCTTGGAGAACCTCTGGTGGCCCCTGGACTACCTGGTCAGGCGCAAGTAGTTTTCACCGTCGGACTGGAAGATCAATGCCCCGCCCCTGGCCTGGTGGTTCGTCATTTTCGGACACCCTGCTGAGCCCTGCTGTTGTGTTGTTCGGTTATATCCTGCTGTTACTGTTGCTTGTGTTGATTGCTCGGACTGTTCTCATGAGAGGAATTGATGCCTTGTGTTGTGGTTTAGCTCAAAAGTGTGAGGTGTTAAGGTGCTGCTTGATTCTCAATCTATGGAGGGGTCACATTGTCTCATCTAGCCACCAAGAAAGAGATTTAGTTAATTTGAATTAGAGGAAGGAGAGAAGGTATATCGATCAGGTTGCCTGTGACATTTCCGGAAGCTTATGTCATTTTGGTCGCCCTTCAGGGGCGGTGGTTAATTAGTTGGTCATAGACAATCATGTTGCCCTTCAGATGTGTTTAATGTTTGTCACAAGATGGATGCCACTTAGCTAAGAAGTGCAGAAGTGGCAAACGATTGCCGTTTTGGACTGACAGTTGATTGCGAGACAGCTATAGCTTACACTGCTTTATCCACATGAGCATGTTTACATGTACCCCAACAAGCAATTCCTGACCGGCAATTGAATCGCCCGAATTCTCTGCACGTCAGGAGCCCTCTGGGTAGGGACTCTCGAAGCCACAGGTGAAGTAGCTAGAACTCTATCCCAGGAATATATGCCGCGCCATGTCCCCTCTGGCACCACCCCAACTGATTCAGCAGTCCTATGCTACCTACCGGGACCTGAGCCATTCGTGACCTTATTGGAGTCTCCAGTGACCTAAACAAATGGGACAATGAGAAGACCGATTCAGTCCGATGAGAAGACCAGTTCGAAAGAAAAGAACCGTCAGCTGTGCACAGGTGTGTCATTGCAGTGTTGCGGCATCTTGGCAGTTTTGATGTTGGCAAAGTTGTGGATGGCTCTGAACTTTTGGATGTTGGATATGATGGCATCAATCAATCTTACAAATTTGTGCATGGCCCTGAATTTTGGGATGTTGGACGTGAATATGATGGACTTGTAGAAGCTAAAGCTGTGCGGCACCAGTCTAGGTGCACGCATGAACTGCGATACTAGCATAGCAGACACGTAGTGGTCAGTCGCATTTGACCTCAATAAACTGAAATGCACATGTTCGAGCATCAGCACGTTGTATCAAGGCTTGGATTGATTTGACACATTCTCCAACCCCGCCATTCCAGGACTCAGGCCTCCAATTCGAATTCCGACCCATCCGGTTAGGTGTCGCAACGCACTGCTCAGCAGACCTATCAAACGGCCCTATCAAGTCTTTGGATTGAGGCTATAGTGGCAGGCCGAGATGACCCAGCAGACATGGAACATGGACGATCCCAGCCTTGGACTGGGGTTCTTGGTGCCAACTGGCTGTTTGGGGACCTTTCCCAGGTTTCTGGACACCAGACTCGTCAACAGGAAACAGCGATCTTGGAGGGTGCTGTTTTTTTTTTTTTCGCATTCCTGATGATCCCTGTTTGGAATAAGTCAGTTTGTCAGTTGTCATGAGGAAAAAAAAGGGCACCAGTCACCCCCTGCATCTCCTTGGCAGGGTCTTTCGTCCAAGGCTGCTGGTTCTTCTGTTGTACTGCGATTGGCACGCACGAGGCAGGGCTGCGTACGTCGCCCACGTCGACGCTGGGTTTGGACCTGGTAATACGGATCTCCAGTCACAACCGTCACAATCATGTACTCAGGATCAATTGAGTGGGTCTCACTTACCCTAAGGATCTACGCTTTGAGAAGGTGGGACTGGGGTGGGTGCCAGGAGGGTCCAGTCGTACCTTTTGAGGAGGTATACTTGGATCCCTAGGCTTACTTGAACAAGCTCTGGCATGATCAGAGCTGAACGCATCACGCCCTGGCGGCCTGATCCTCGCAGCGATGCGCGACGACTCACGTGGCGGCCGAGTAACCACCACGACAGCCTAGCTATCATGTTTATGTTCAGAGCTGATCACAAAGACCTCACAAACTAGCGGTTGAAAAGGGATTTCACTCAACGCTCGATGATTCTTTTGGCAACCATTATAGTTGCGCACCAGCGGACGTGAGATCCTGAGATCCTGATAGGTGACCAGTTGACAGCCAATCCTCTATTTGGGATAGACATGGATAGAGCTTCAATATCAAAATGTACCAACTAAGACCTCCCATGACCTCTCTTTGGTAGATGTTCCAACTCTTAAGAAGGCCGGTTGATCCCTGCAACCCCCCGCGCAGATGCTGGTGGAGCCGCCTCCCTCCGTGCACTGCTGCGCCTGGCGGACGATGCCAACGACGCAGACGCCGAGCGACGGCGAGCGCTGGCGGAGGGGCGCCGGCGGGTCTTCGACCCCTTCGAGGAGAGAACGACGAGACGTGAGAGGGGCGAGAGAGAGGCGGTGCGGAGGCGGCGCGGTTCCGGACTTGATCGAGAGATCTAAAGAAGACAGGTTCGCACAGCGGGATGGAAGGGGTTTGGCGCAAGCACTCCATTGGACTTGATTCAGACTCCACTTTCACCAGAATCATCCAGAGGTCAGAGGTCAGTGGGGTGGCTGTGACTTCTTTCAGGACCACCCCTGAAACCCCCAGAGAGAGGTTGAGAAACCTTGTAGGAGCCTGTAATTAGTGGTATTAAAAGGGCTAGGACCTGAACCAGGAGTTTGTAATTATAGTGGTTTCTGATGAGAACGGGCTAACTATGGGGCTGTGAAACACCTGACACCTCTCCAAAAACGCCTACACACCATTTCAATCTGGACCACCGGACCACCTACAGTGAGGTCTTGGGGTCTTGGTGATCAGCCTGCGGCGCAGGAATGCATCGAGTTGCTCTTGCATTTCCTTTGGGTCTCTTGCTTCTTCGTGGTTTATCCGCCCCTGGGCGTCACAGAGGCCACATGAGGCCGCGAGATGGCTGAAACCATGGCTGAAACAGTTTGATCTGCACACTTCTGTTTGGAGAGAGGAATCAAAGTAACCTTCTTTCATCCTGACATGTGTTAAAGTGTGATACATCACAGGAGCCTATCCGGGAATCGTCCGGGAAGATGCATTCGTTCTTCCTGGATGGGCACTACACCCCCAAAAACTAACACGGACCCTGAGAATGGCACCTTGAAAGACTGCTTTCCTCTACAAACCCGTGGTTTTCAGAGTGTTAGTTTTCAGCGGGGCAGCGTTCAGGGCTTCTGTAGGGCTTCGAAGTAAGGGACTACTGATGAGTCAATTTACAGCTTCTCAGCTTTTCTGAAAATGGCGCTTGGCTGGGTGAAGTATAGGGGATAACCAGTCAATGGCATGAGGAGGCGCCCTATCTGCCATCCTCTTGTGGTTTAGGCCACTTCCATGCCATCTACCCCCACGCTACAGATCCCCTATAGCCATTCTGTTTGTGCCACCCATATCCCAGCCCTCAGCCTTTCACCGGATCCCAGCTTGGGCGGCTTATTGGCCTTTGGCAACCAGGCGGGCTCCGGGCTCGGACGAGCGGAGCCGCGCAACGCTTCGCACCCGTGGCGCGGGGAGGGCGGGGTTCGTTCGTTCGGGGTGGAAGTGATTCCTCAGAATGGGACGTCGCTGGTGCTTAGTAGGGAACAAAAGAATGAGCCCTCACTATAGATACCATAGGATCCATTCCCTCATTCCGCATTCCTTACTCAGCACCAGTCAGAGCCCGTCGCTTGGCTCCAGAAGACAGTCTTTTTTCCAAGCGAGGTCGACCTCGCCCATGGCTGTGAGTGACGCGGATGCAAACGCAAACAGACCAGTTGGTCAAATCGGAGTGGTGCCTGTCACTGGGACAAGTGAAGTGCGACATCCGAAGATTGGAGGATTTAACTCTCCCTATATTTGGACACTCTTTTATGTAGGTTTGGGGGGTTAAGTAGATCTGAAAAGGTATATGTGGATCACTGGGTCTTATAAATCTCCACGACAAGGAAGTTCATGGTTTATCTTGTTCTGTTGTTTTTTTTTGCCGTGGCAATCCAATGGAGATGTGGGCCTGCAACCTACGTAACCATCATCATCCACTGGGCCCTGTGGTAAGTGAGGCTTGCGAAACCGTTCGTCACTGACCATTCGTCTCCGTGACAACCACCTCACCCAGTTAAGGCTGACAAATCCACTGTTGGGAGTCTATACCAACCACCTACCAATCCTAGTCCTAGTATATCCAATGTGATGGGTGACAAATGGTGACAACATACATTGGTATATTGGTGAAAGCCACCTCATAGGATATACCGATATACCCAATCATATCGTCATCTCTCCAGCTTGAATCTAAGCCCAGCATCGCTCCTCCGAATCGACTGAGAGGTTTATAAAGACCATCACAGACACACCAGTGCCTGGAATTTTCGTCATGAAGTCATGATCGTTGCACGTCAAAAAAAGAACAATCACTACTCAACTGAGAAACATCTCATCAATTCCTAAACATGGCTCATGTCGTGTCATCTCATTTCCAGGACCAGGACCCTCCTCGGGGTGTCTATGTTTGTTCGCCCCTTAGCCGTGATTCGGGGGGGCAACCATTCACCACCCTATTTATATCCCTGGAAGGTTCAGACCTGCCAAAAATCCTCCATAGCTATGAGGAACAACCATTCTGCCCCATAGCCATGAAGGAATCTCCCCAGGAACAATTCCTGCCCGCCATGAAGGAATTGGATGCCCCGTAGCCCCATAGCCCCATAGCCCTTCCCCCCGTCCCATGTCATCCTCAACGGCGAGAGGCCCTGGAGCTCCGCTGCGACACGGTGAAGCTCCTCGCCGCGCGCCGGCGGCCGTGGCCCCGCGCGGCCGTGGCGGAGAAGGCGGGCGGCGGAGTAGCGGCGGAGTAGCTGTAGCGGGGTCCAGTCATACCTTCTGACTGGAAGGGGGTACTTGGCTAGGGATAGGCGATTTATTTTTTGAGCTAGACAGTTTGACTTGGTCTTTGAGCAAGATTGTGCTTTGCTTTGGATGAACTTGTGTGATGTTATTGTGTCAGGTGATGGGGTTGTAGACGTTGTAGGATCGTTGTCAGTCTATGCTGCTACTTTGGGCAAGTTCCTCGAGTGAGGCCAAGTACTTGGAGGGTGAATGAGAGTTGACCGGGCAGTGGGTTCGGATCTTCACTTCCAACCAAACTCCTCTACCCTGTTTTGATAGGAAAGGACAATAAAAATTGTTTGATTCATCATCCAAAATAGTGACCTCAGGTTCTGGCTATGTACGAAATCCAAGATAGGCGGTTTGACACCGTTTAAGGAGCTGGTATTATTATGTATTCTTGTTTAAATCAGAGCTACGAGAACCATCAAGCCCCAATAGATCATCCATTATCATACCTGGACAGAACTGGATCCTCTAGGATCCTCTAGGGTTCAGCTGTTTGGGGACCCCAATCAACGGGTGGTGAACCTGCACCGAACTGGTCATCCCGCCAGACACTCCAAGGGGTCGGGAGGTATCACGCCATATCATACCTGATGGAGCATTTGGTACAGAAATTACTATATAGTACGATTGATCCTTCAGGTATATATGGAGTGTTTGCTTCATAATATGCTTCGGATCTTGCTTCGCGATCGAACCCCCCCGCCAACCCGGTCCGAACCTTCCCGATGGCCCGAGCCCGTGACCACCTTGGTGCGCGGCGCCAAACGCGACGCGACGCGTGTGGCGTTTGGCCCGTCGTTTCTCGCAGAAGTGGCTTCCGTCATGTGCCCAATGGATCGCCCGGGGGTCCAGAGTCGAGACGGGACGGGCAGGGGCGATGGGGGACGGCGATGGTTTTGGAACACACATACCCCTCAGGATCCAGTCGTACCCTCTGAGAAGGTGGGACTGGGGTGGGTGCCAGGAGTGTCCAAGTACTTTTTGAGGAGGTACGACTGGATCCCTAGGGATAGATTCCTTGAAAGCGTCAAAGAGATCGAAGGAGATCGATAGGAGATCGGCGGGGTGGGACAAGGTGGGACGATCGTTCATGTTTGTTGAGCACTGAAAGAATCCGAAAGAAAGGGGTTCATGTTTGGAAGGAACATAGGGTCTATAAACCCGAACTGCAGAGGTGTTGGGAGTGATTGAAAGTTCTCTCTTCCGCGCGTTTGGCGTGCGCACCGATTTTGGTTTGTTTCTGCCGAGGTTCATATTGCCATCGCGCGGCACCCAAGGGCCCAAGGGTTGGCTCAAATGGCTCTGGGAATGGTTGGAAGAGGTTCTGGGGGGGCTTCAACAACAGCCCACGAGATCAGAACTGTTGTGCTTTCTTCCCCGAGTTGAAAGATGGAATCTGTTCATTGAAAGGTTTGCGTATGGGACCTTCCCCTTGCACGTGTTTAACACTTGACGTAAGCAGAACCTTCCCCTCATCCAGATTCTTCGGGCGACCCCAAGCAGCGGACAGCTTCCACCACCAACATGATTCATGTATTCAACATCCAGAATCCAGAGTGATCCAAACATCTGCCCTCCAAAGATCTACTCCCATCTCAAGCAGAGCTGTTGGTATCTACAAACAAACCGGTCTCACCCTCCTGGTCCCAGACACGCCATTTATGTCATAGTTGCATACCTTGGGGTGGTTGAAAAGGGGGGTCAATGGGGAGGCATATATGCCACTCCCATCGGTCGTGTGTGATCTTCCCCTTTCGGCCAAAACGGGTTTCAAAGCTTTGTCCACATTGGAGTGGTTTCACACACGCCCAGCTTAAGGTCATGAACGTCCTGGTCTTGCTGTTGCCCTTCGCTCTGGCGGCACAAGAGTGTGGCGCTGTGCTGGTGACGGAGAATCTGTGTCGCTCGGTCCGCACCGCACCGGTTCCGGCGGGTTCTGATCGACGTGTGGAGCATTCTGTACCAATGATACCAAGCGCATCAACAGTCAGACAGTGTCGAAATGGAATAGTTGTTTTGTGTTTGATATGTATTTATATTTGGTCATGCATAAAAGAAATACATGGATTCCTTACACATGTCAAATTGGTCTATTGGTGCAATCAGTCAATTGGTGGAACCAACCAATTGACAAGAAAAAAAGACTGGTGTGTTTTGGTGGGCAAGATTTGCCACTGTTTCGTGAGGTGGTGGCTCCTCTTTGGCCATTCGGAGTTTGGCTCAAAGACTTTCCGAACTCCAGCAGACTTCTCGAACGGACGATCGGATTCCAAAGACTCAATCTCTTCATGAGGAATCTCTTCACAAGGACCTTTGAAAAAGAGTACGTAGGTGATCTATATACTATACTAAACTATTCAATGTCCGCCCACATGCTTAAAAGAACTAGGTCCACTTCGAGTATCGCTAATATTTCCACATCACGACATGCAAGGCCATGGCATGCATGGCTTGAAAAGAATCCATGAATCATCAAGAGCTCGGAAAACTGGGTGTTCACCTCGATCGCCTTGCCCTGAGGCACTCTGACCACGGCGCTGACCGCGCTGGCGGCCACAGTAGGTTTTGAAGTCTACTGGCGCCATGACAAGACATTAGTCGACCTGCATGTGATATACTCAAACTAGGTACACGTGCCATAGATGGCCGTTGTGGTTTTAGGACCCTTGCTCCGCCCCACTGTGCTCCCCACCGTGTGTGCGGTCTAAACACCACGGACCGAATACAGTACAGTGGTGCCCAAAAGCTTCCGGACTCGTCATAAAAGAATGCAGAAGTTGTTTGCAACCCCTACCGGCCCTCAAAACCATGCAAAAACAAAGGTGTTCACCTACAAAAAACGTGTATTGAAGGCCCATAACTAACAGAATCACACCCATCGTCCCCACATTTTCTTCACGTTCCGACAGAAGGCATGGGAAAGAAAGTTAAACATAAACTGCTGTGTTCTTTTTCTGCGTTTTGCCCTAAATTGAGTTGTAAAAAGAAACATAATCCAGAACAACACCTGCAGCTGGGAATGCGGGAAATCACTGTGACGTGTTGGGTTGGTAAACCTGTAAACCTGTAAAAGTCAGTAAAAGGTCTTATTGGTCTTATCACTCTATTATAGATGTCGGCCTGCAACCTAACCATCATCCATCAGGCCCTGGGAATAGGATAGACCCAAGTGATTGGGTACAATTTAGTTAGTGACCAGTCAATTGGTTTTCATACTAAGAATCTACTGGGGATGCCATGGGGTTGAACCCGGTTCGGTTGACGGGTGGGAACATGCAAAGTCCAGCGCCCCCCGTCAGATCCATCGAAGAGCGAGTCTGACAGGACCAGACTGATGGGGGGACTTCCTGTTCGTCAGCCATGCCTTTGATCGACCGAAGAGCGTTGCGAGTTGTTGGTGAATGTTCTAATATAGTATATAGTCTCAAAATGTCTCGAAGAAAAATATCAATTATATGTAATTATGCATCAGGTCTGGAAGGCTTGGGTTTGCATTGTTCATCTCTAATAGACTAATTGTATTCTGTTCATATAACATTTTGGCTCAAGGTACCTTTTGAGCCAAACTGGCTTTTGAGGCCCTCCCAGCCCACCCTTGTTGGTATTCAGGAGCTACCTTTTCCCTCAGGTTTGGGTTTTCGATTCGTTCTGGTGTGACCAGGGAGACTGCGCACCCAAAGGGGCAGAGAGACTGCGCCTGAGGGAGGGTATGTGCTGCGAAGCATCCCAACGCAAATCCTGTGAGATCACAGGTTGACAGCGCCACTGGCGAGATCAAACCAGGCGGGTGGAAGAGAAGGACGGAATGGCGAGCACGAGACGCCGTTCGAAGGGAGTAGCCACCTCTCATAGAATCCAATCCAGTTGGGATGTAACTCTAACAGATACTTCCTAGACTGGAGTAAATATACATGTTGCTTTGGCTCACCGATACCGTTCCGAGGTGCTTCTTGCGATGGTTCTTGCGGCGATGCGGAAGAAGCAAAGCAGCAGAGCGAACAGCAGGCCGACTGGAGGTTGGTCGTCTTCGAGCCGTATGTTCGGAGGGACTGGCGCAGAACAACTGTGCCGAGTGTGGGATCATCCCACTGGCTTGTAGAGAAATCATTCCATGCTTCTTACAACACGGAAGAAGGAACGCATTTTCGGGGCTTCATCTTCGTTGATGCGCCAAATCATGCACTGGATCACAGAAAAGTGGGTTGACGGGGGTTTTGATTGGAAGGAAACCTCGGGTGAGATAGTCATACAGATCGACAAGTCAAATCGATTGTGCGATTTCCATGAATTCTGACCAGGCTGGAGAACCGCGTGGAACCGGTAATTGATTTCACCTGGCCCGGCAGCGCGTTTTTTCTTCTCAGCATCGGGCAAGCGCTCCAAAAACGCACAGGTCTTTTCTTTCAGCATAGAGGTCCTCGGCGAGATCATCAAGCCAGCGGTTGTATAGGTGAACACCTGCTTGGCATATTTTGTCTTGGGACAAACCATTTGTACAGGGACCATTAAAAGGGACCCACAGAAGCACAGGGACCAAAAGGGACGCTGTTCCCTTCAGATGCTTGGTACGTTGCATGGTTCTGAGCTGAGGCGCCCACGAGACCATCAACCACATTGTGCCCGCGCCGATGGAAGTGAAGCCGAAGTCCATGCCTTCGCCACGGGAGGCTTGGAGGTTGTTTTGCGATGCTTTCGGTGAGTTGGAGATAGGTCCGACCGGATGCCCTGGGGAACCGGCACACAGACCCTGTCACTGACTGAAGCATCTAGAAAAGAATGTGTAAAAAAGAAAAAATGTTGCAGCTGTTGCAGGAATGCTATATTTCATTCACTTAGGGTTTGGGAATAGCGGACGGCTGTAAGTAGTCACTGCGGTCTATGTTTGTATGGAACAAATACAATCCTTGTTTAGTTTCCAGGTTGACTGTCCAGCTGACACGAACTTGGTGGGTTTGGGCACTTGCTCATCTCACCCTGGAGCTTCGCCCTGGTTCCATCATCATCCCAAAGGTTCGCATCCCAGGTGCGGAGGAAAACTGCACCTGGTACAACCCAACGACTCAGCCAGCACCCGGCGACATCTCCAAGGAGCGATGCTGTGAGTGGTTCCTCAAGGTGTTCTAGCTGCAGCTGGCTCCATCCTGCTGCGCCTCTCCGTTTGAGGGTCAAGACGGCCTTCATTTCTTTTTCGGAGCGCAGGTTGCTTGGGGAGAGTGTCAGAAAAAATAGGTTGAACAGCGAAAAGAAAGATGGCTCAAGTTCGAAGCTGCTGAGATGGTTCAAGCTTGAAGTTCTCTTGAGGAAGTGTGCTGAACCAGGATAAGGTGAAGTGGGACCTGCAACATATCCAGCCAGTGCATAACCTTTAACCTTGTTTTGGGAGTGGTGGCACCCCACTAAACAAGAACAGGTAGGAAGAGGATGAAACAGGAATGATACTATATATATATATATAACATGTTGTTTTTTTGCCCAGGGAACTGGAAGGAGTCAGGCAAAAACTTCTTTGACTCCGTACTTGTCTTGTGGATTGTTTAAGTTCTGGGACCGAACTATCTCAACTGTTTGCCCAAACTGCTCCACCTAACTGTCTCCCATGCTAGGCCTGCTAGGCCCTTTCCTAGGGATCCACTGCCACCTCAGAAGGTACTTGGACCCTCCAAACCTACATGACAGTGTCTCCAATCACCTTCTGAGAGGGTACTTGCATCCCTAGAGATTGCTAGTAGAAATGAAGACATGTGCCAGACCAACTGCCACATCGGCAATTGAAGGAAACCAGCTGACCCTCTCCGCAGAGTGTGAGGTCTCCGCGCCTAAATCCAACAAAACAAGTGAGCGCCGTTGCGTGCCAAAACGGGGGCCACAGGGATGGAACTCAGAAAACGTGGGAGCGTGGCGACAAGCGGTGGGTTTGCTGCTGCATATCAATATCGACAGCGGTGTCTTATATTCTTTTCAGTTCAGAGTTCAAAACAATCAATCGTCGCGGGGATTCTCACAAGGGAATCTCAGCACAATAGCACAATAGCACAATTCTCAATAGGGGATTCATTCTCAATCTCAGCTAGTTGTTCAAATGATGTTCGCTTGGCCAATTTCCTGGGGCGCCGTTTAGCACGTCGGAAGCACCAAAGTTGTGGAGCACCCGTCTCTCTACCTCAGCAACAGCCTCCAACCTAAGAGCAATGACCTCCTATATAACAGAATCACACCCTGACACACCATATAGGGCATATGAACCTGCATTGAAGGGTTTAATAAGATCAATTTTAATCCCGTGGAGCGTCTGGGAGCGAAAAACATCAATTCCATAGATGAAGGAATTATGCATTTGCACACTTGGAAGATCCAGATATATTGACCCCTTGTCAAGGACTCCTAATGTGTTTACCTCCGGTTCTATCTTATGTGATACCGGTTTTCTCGTCCGCACCCACAATGTTCCCCACCTTGCATGTTGTTTTCCATGGAGAGTGTGCTATTTGGACCCTTTTTTGAGAACATGATTACAAGCATGGGTTTACAACATCATACAACCATCTTCCTTGACCCCAAAAGGCTCCATGTTGCCATGTTGTTCTTGTTTCAGCTTGACTGCATCACCACGTGTGCCACGTCACCGGTGAACTGGGCCCCAAAACGGACCGCTGACTCCGTTCGCGGACACCTCGATGGGTTTCAGGACATCCACCACCCTACCCTCCACCACCGGGAGGTGCGCCGACCGTCGCGCGCGCGGGTGGCGACCCGCTCAGGCATGGCCTACATGTGTCCCACGGCGTAGGTCCAAGCCATTTGGGACCTTGATTAGGACGATACGTTTGTGTGGTTGGTGGTTGTTTCTGAGGTCAATGTAGGGCAGCGGTACGCAGTTCAGAGTCCCATAGAGCGCTCGTTTCATTGTGTTTTTTTTTTTCACATGGTTCATGTCTCGGATTGGTTTCTATGTTTCTACCGACCTGAGTGAATCCCCGCAGTTCTTGGTGTTCAGAATAGTTCTACCTGTTTTGCCATGTGACTTTTCGGCCAATCGATGTTCACAGTTCGCCCTGCAGATCCGTTCTGAACGTCCCCAGGCAAGGGACCCCCACCTCCGCCGCCCCTCGGCAAGCGGTCGCCGCGGCGATGGGGGAAGAGTGTAGACCGGAGACGTGGTGTTCTGTTTTTTGTTGGGGTGCAAAGGATCCCTAAGTTTGTGCATGGTTTGTTTTGATATGTTTGATGTTTTTTGGGATTGGTTGTTGTTTGCGTTGTTTATTTTGAGTATTTGTTTTTGTCATCGGCAACATGGACTATTTAATCTATTTGCAGTTGTTGAGATAGTCAGAACAAGGGTGACACGTTGAGGGTGACAGACAGGACAAATTGACCATTAACATGTGTGTTGAACTTTGACATAGAGAAGACCATCCCATGCCAAAGGTACTTTGATGCTATGTCCTTTGTATTGTCATTCCCTAATTTGAGCAACCCCACCACAAGTGAAGAGTAATGGTGACAAAGCATCGGACCAAAACACTATATATATATATATGATTCTTATAGCTACTAGATCATTCTGATCATTCTGTTCCATGTCATGGTGTTGTCACACACACAAGAAAAAACAGGGGTTGTGCCGACCGCTATACCTAGAAACTCTCTCAATGTTTGGTCGGTCCAATTGGATAGAAAGTGTTTCTATCATGTGAGAGGAACAATGTCTCCAAAACCAAAAGGATTTCCGGGAAGCTCAGGGATTGTAAAAGTCTGTGGATGTCCCAGGATATATTTTCCTTATGTCCCTATGTTATGTTCTGCAACGGACGAAGGGATGATCAACAAAAACAACAGTCGGGAAGATACTAGCCAAAAAGAGTGATCCAAGGCAGACAAAGCAAAGGTTCTGCTACACACCAAGCAAACCCCGGAAGATGATGTGTTTTGTGATGCTTCCTTTGTTTCGGAGTTCAATGATCCACAGTAGATCGTGTCACGGTTTCCAGTCGTGGGGATCTACCAATTTCTATCTATTTATTTTTGGCCAACTTGGAGGTCTATACATACCCTAGGGCTCCAAGTACATTCTGAGAAGGTGTTTGGGGTGGGTGCCAGGAGGGTTCAAATACCTTCTGAGGAGGAAACCTCCTGGAGCCCTTTTTGTATAAACGGTTCAGGCATCCTATACTTGGCAGCTTCGATACTTCCAGGCAGCTTCGCATACTTGGCGGGAGGTATGGCCATGCATTCTCAGCTGAGGTATGGCCATCCGCCACCTCACGGTCACCCACCACCTCACGGTCCGCCGCCGCACGGCTATCCGCCACCTCATGGTGGGGAAGCTGAGACACGTGCGCCAAAGAGTCGGAGTGGGGAAGCACTCACGGTGGGAGTAGGACAAGAACCGGGGAACATCCTTCAACCTCATCCACAGACGTGACCGCTTTTTGCCCTCGAAGTTCGCATCGATTACTGTATCAACTTGTGACAATCAATCCTTCTACTAGAGTGACTAGAGTGGGGTGTATGGGGAGAGCAAAAAAGAGTACCATTGCGCCAGTCGCGGTTACCACTTCTGAGTTTTTGGAGCTTCGCTTAGATCCTCCGCTGCAGATCGCGACTCCTTCACGACTGCATGTCTGACAGACTCGCTCCTCTGCGTCAGGGCCGAATGCCCAACTTGGCCTTTCGTTTGGTATTTCTTGCATCAATGTTCGAAACAGCCGAAAAGGCACCAACACCCCGACGTCGCGCTTTTTTTCGCCGCGCTCGCTTTCTGCCGAGGTTATCCACCTCCACCTCCCCATGGCTATGGACCACCGCCCCCGGGACCGCCGATGCCCGGGCACCGAGAATCGGCCGAATCGCGGAGAGCCGACACCAATACTGGGCCAAACAGATCTGCCTTTTTACCAGGAGTCACATGTCGGGGTGGTTGCTAGTCCCCCCCCTATCCTCCAATAATCGGCACCCCGTCTTGTGACTCCTGGTATACAGTCGTTGATGATCTATGATGATTGAGGTGTGAGATGATGTAAGGATTGTTCATGATTTCAACCTGTGCTGACTATTGAACATAAACGTTGCAGCTTTCCAGGGTTCCAAGGAACCAGTTTAAATTGAGGACCAACACTTTGCAACCTATCCGTTCAAATTATCAATTCGATGTATTTGATGCTTTTGCAGGGAGTTTGGCGGCCCCCTTTTGCTCAACGTGCCCGCCGAGCAGACGGTGTGTAATTGGGAATGGTCTTGATCAACAGTGGAAGCGGTTCCCCCTTTCATGAACCCAGGAATCCACGAGGTGAGCTTTTGGATGGTGTTTTCCTGACGTTTTGCACCGCTGAGCCAATTGATTTAATATGAAGCAGGATGTTTGTCCGTTTTTGTGCACTTAAACCTACCAAGTCAAACCCAATGAGGATCGCTTCTAGACTGAGTTCTGTACGTACTACCGGGTGCCCAAGTTCCGTGGGAACCGCTTTACAGGTCCGTTGCCCAGAAAAGCTATTGAATTCGTTATCAAACATGGAAAAACCTCCAATCAAAGGATTAATCCCTTTCCCTTACACAAACCCTTTCACTCACATTGGAAATCAATGATTCTTCATCTGCAGCTTTCGAATCAGAGTCACTAAATAAAGAACGTTGATAAAAAAAGGGTGCAGTCAAAAATCCGACTCAAAACCCCAACTCAGGTCGGGTACGTTTTGCACCACAACATACTTACTGTATATGCCTTTTCGGATGAAAATGGAGCCTGAGGACTTCCCATAGGCTCCCAGGCTCCGGGGGAAGCGGCGCTCGTTACGGTCGCAGACGACCGTAGAGACCACCAGTTTCACCGGGGCGGCCCATGACGAAACGACCATGTTGGAGCTTGGCATGGCATGACGGTCATCGTTGAGGCTTTGGCCAGGGCCAAAATAGAGGTACGGGTACGTGGCCCGTGAAAACAGAGTGGGTGGGCGTGACTGAGTGGATGGATTTGTGACCTCCTCATTGACGCCCATTGAGACGGGCCCCAGTTGTTGGTTGTTTGACCTCCAACTCTTCGTCAACATGACCATCAGCATCAGTGGGACGACCGTTTGCTTCACTGGACCAGAGGCTGGTGGGTACACGGACGGCCGTTCTGTAGACATGTTGGCCACAACGACCGTTCTTGCAGCACCGATGGCCACGGAAGACCAGACACGCAAGACAAGACACGCAAAGGCATGCCTCAAGATACACCATGATGCCTCAAGCAAGCGTCGACGTACTCTCAGAGGACATGAACTGGCCCACTGAGGAATACATTGACTAGAGGACACACGGTTGTTCCGGATGCTCAAAGATTCAGTTCGTCAAAAAACACCGATGGACTGCACACATGAGTGGGCCCACAAATTCACACCCCCTTTGGCAGGGGAGTACCAGTCACTTGGTCAGTACTTAGTAGACATATCTATAGATCGACAAATTTGTTTGATTGTCTCTCTAGTACTTAATTGTTAACACAGTATTACCAGCGCAGTACATCTAGAACTTATCCATTTTGTCTACCAGGCGACTAGAACCAATCCTTCGTTGGGCATCAAAACGCTCCCCCCACGCGCGCGCTTCGTTCACACTGCACCACCCTTCGCCGCATGGACTGAAGCTTCGCCTATGACCAAGCGATGCTGCGCGATGCTCGGCGAGAAAAGACCGGAGGGCCATGGCAATGCGAAAGATGACACTGACTGATACACCCCCGCAGACTCATGGACTGGACACTGAACATTCACCCAGTGTAGAAGACCCTTTGTCCGAAGACTAACCCAGTGGTTTTGGGGGGCCATGTTAATCTGCAGCGTAGTAAATAACGGGAGGAATGAAGGGTTCCTTTCAGATAGATTCGATCCAGCCACCCTCATGCTTCCCTTTGCACGGGAAATGGCTACAGTTTCGGGTGCGGAGCTCCGGTGCCAAATCCGCACACTTGAGGTGTATACATGGCCTGTGAATGATGGCACCTCCCCCAGCAAAGCATGGTTTCCGTATCCTTGATGAAAGGATTTGTTCATTGTACCCTGGATCAACCCGGGGTGCCGTGACCCACAGAGAGAAGTTGACCACAGGTGCCGAGGTCGATTGCAAGACACCTGCAGATTTGACGTTGAACCCGGAGCATCACGTTTCATGTGAAAGGTGTTGGGATGTTTTGGGACCCCATCGCGTGGATTCGGAATGCGGCACTATAGTAGCATAGGCGGCACTATAGTAGCAGCTAAGCGACGCTGGAAGACCATCGTCCTTTCACAAACGGAGATTGTCCCACTGGACGTGTCCAAACAAAATTGTTTTCCCTTTGCTACGCGACGTTTTAAACTCTATATATATATATCGATAACTATATATAATACTCCTAACAATCCATCTATAGAATATTTACCTATACATTGGCATTGGGGGTGGTTTCAGGTTTCAATGTAGGTAAATATTTCATACATGGGTGGTTTGGGTATTGATTCTTTGATCATGTTTGATCACATGTCATGTTTTAGCATGTTTCAGCACTTGCTTTGTGCAGTTCCGGTTCCACTGTTTTGCATCAAAAGCAGTTCCATGCAGTGCTCAACGGCATCTTGAAAAGGTATGAACAAGTTACATACCCGTTGACCCGTTCTTCATCGTTTTCTCAGAGGTGAATCGGTGAATCGGCTTTGGACTCTTCCAGACTTGGTGGAGTGAAAAAAGGAACCCGAGTGCACCAGCACCCACAGCTTCGACCGAGCAAACTTCGACCTGTTGCACGGCTTGCGACGTGGCCACTGACCCATACGCTACTGGTGCAACCGTTTGTAGCAACCTGGACCAAAAGGATACAACATCGGATGAATCGAACAACTACTATTTTTCCTGGAGGTGCTTGTAGTCAAGGTGCTTGTCCTTATTTAGTTTGTGTATGTATGCCAAACTTGGAGGGTAGGAGTGCCCCTGTCACATCCACACACGGCGAGGTCGAGCCAAACCACCCGAGAAGGGCCCCAACTACCTCCTGAGAAGGTGGTTAGGGCGGGTTTTGGAGGGATAGGGTGTCTTCTTCGCATCAAATCCGATGAGGATCACGGAGTGGACCTGCGCCACGCTGAGCTGAGGACTAGCAGCTATACGCAGGTCATCTCCTCCGGTGCGGCTTATGTGGATGCTTGGTCGATCGTGGTGCGGCTGCGCGGGTGGATGCTGTCGAAAAAAAGTCTCCAACAAACTGGAGGTATACTTGTCCAGTTTGAGGTCATTTCTTTTTTAGATGGTCTTCGAAGGCCCCGGACAACACAAGACAAAAGAGAAGGCCCGGGCCGAGCTGCTCCTCCAGTAGGTTCCACTAGCAAGAGGCCTTGATTTGGAAGAGCTCGAAGAGCTGCCATATATGTGCACGCATTAGTCCAAGTTTGTGTGAACCTTTCAATCGATCGAACGGGTGACTCCCTTTTTGAACGCATGCCTATATTCTGCCTGACAATCATGGAGTGGATAGCATGGCACGTTGGATGACCATGTTCCGCTACAAAGAGGTGGCTTTCCCACTTCCATGATTTCAAGGAGTCTAATTAAACACTTTGGGGCACAACTCATGAAACACTGGCTCATGTTGTAGACGCACCCTGGCCGCGCTTGGGTGGGGTCAGTGGCCGCTAGATTGCAAAAGGTCACCGATCTCTGGTCCGTCCCAGTGATTCCAGAGTCTTACACCCAGACGGCTTCCCTGGAGCCTATATATATATATATGGCATGGAGGGATGAACCAATTCCTAGCGTTTTGAGGCCAAACTTGGAGCCGTCTTGGGCGCCCTAACGGCTACACCCCGACGTCGCTTTCGTGCATGTCGTCGTCGCTCCGACATCCCAGGTGGGTCCCGGGCACGAGTTTGAGCGGATGGCCCCTCGGCTCGGCAGCGACGAAGGTCCGTGCGGCTGGAGCCCAACACCGTTCAAGCCGGATCAGATCCGCAAAGCGCCTAAGCGCCTTCTTAAGGGCTTAGCATGGCTTAGGTGGTTGTTTTGTTTGTGTTTTGCCGTGTAATGACCTTTGAAATGTTGGAGTGATTCAAAGTGGATTGCTGATCAATTTAGTGGTCCGAAAGTGCAACTCTGGCTGATGAACCATCATGGCGGGCACTCTGTGGATTGTTGAGCATTTGCAGACCTTTACCGGACGGACAACGTCACACCACAATATGAGACATTTGGTTCAACAAGCCTTTTGCAACTGGGCTGTATACCACGAATGACATATGGTGTCTCCAGAGCCTACAAAGTTTCCTCGATGTGTCAGCAAGGTTCCAGTTTATTCAGCAGATCCTTACTGGGCATGGAGGAACACCCCCCATACCATGTCGATATCCTTTTTCCTTCCCCATTCACTTGATAAATATGACTGCAAAGGGATCTGTGACAATTGCACACAGATCCCAATTCACATCACACGAGAATATTCTCCCATGTACAATCGAACGGCAACGGGTACCCGTTTCAAAGACAAGGGAAATAGTTCCTACAGCGAGAGGCTCTGTGTGTGCCTGCGCTCCAGGATATACTGGCCGCTCAATTCTACGGTTATATATCAAATTGTTCAATTGATCTGTGCAGCTGCTTGCCCAGCTAGCACGTGAGATGACCGAAAATTCTTGTTGCGGAACCTCTGTGGCAAGTGCCACGGTGGCACTGAGTGAGCCCTTAAAACTCACTCAATCATGCCAAACAAATCCCAATCCATGAAGCCTAGCAGGTTGTTCTATTTTTTTCCACGGTCTCTACATGAATCAAGAAGGGAGGCAGTTGAGTGAGGGATCTCGGATGAGCTATGCCACTTCATCTCGGATCAGCTCGTGTTCCACCCGTGAAACTGAGGAAGACTTCTTTGCACCACCGCTGGAGAATTGGGGCGGTCCATATTTGACCATGATCCTGAGATGGAATGGCGTGGGAGGACGGTTTTCCAAACATAAAGGAGATCACGGGCAGGCTACAAAACGAGAGGTTTAACATTTTGTTTGTTTCTCCGGCAGCTTCCTGGATCTCAGATTATCTCAGATTCCCTTTCAAAAAGGCGGACCACGGAAAATTGGTCAGAACAGAGTGTAGTACCTCCCTTGCAGGGTGAAGAAGTTCTTATCCGTGGCCTGACCTCACTGCCCCGGTCATGGGTTCCCCAGTTCCCCACCTGAGAAAAACCGAGTGGTCCAAAGCACCACTCCACAACTCCCTGACACCATCAACTCGCACATACAGATCAGTTGGGGTACATAGTTGAAAAGGGGTCAACATATGCAACATATAATTAACATATTACGATGTTTTGCATTATGTGCTATTCTGTTTATATATATTATATAGTGTTTGTATTACATATATCTATACATACAGAATATACATATATATAGTATATTGCATGTGTATAACACTCCCATGGAGTGTTTGGGTTCCACAATAATATGTGGCTCCAGGGTGTGTGTTTTCTCTCTGTTTCGCACCCGTCCTTTTTGTCGCAGCTTCGTAGACGTCCTAGCCTTCGCAGCCTTAGGTGCTTGCGTGGCATGCATCTCTCAGCGACCAACTGGACCATATTTGTTTGGGCATTTCATGGTAATGCGTCCTTGCTCCTAGTAGCGATGGCAGGAGCCCCCAGTATCGTCCTTGCTCCTAGTAGCGATGGCAGGAGCCCCCAGTCCCAGTAGCTTCTTGTTCCTTGGCATTTCGGGGTAATGCTTCCTGCTCAGCCCCGGACACATGGAGGGCAAAGTCTTTCCCACCCAGAAGAAATCCTGCCAACGCTGTTGGCGAAAACAGAAACGTGGCGTCCGCACCTGAAGGCTGCAGTTCCTCTCTCACCATGGCTGGCTGCTGGATTTGCCTTTGGACCAGCGGAAGCTCCTGCTGCTCAGCGTGCCCTTCTGTGCCGGCTTCATGGAACCTTCAGCATGATTCACCCCGGCTGGAAGACCATCTTGTTCCCCCTGAACCCCCCAGGTGGTATGCGGCAGGCAAGCCACTGAATTCGGTTTTTTGGGCATCGGCGAGTCGGTGAACAGTGAACCTCACGTGGTGAAAGGGTCCAGAGGCCTCATGAGACGCAGGCTGTCGCTCAGCGCCTTGAGCTCAGCCAGAACATCACTGTCCAACGGGTTCTTGAGGCAGAGGTTCTGAAAGCCTCCTGCGAAACGAGAGATTTTGCCCTTGGAGGTGGGTAGGATTAATTATTTGGAATCATATTATTCATTGTAGGATCTAGAGTTGCGAGGTTGAACATTTTAGGACCATTCTCAATTCAGGATGTAGTAAGACATCGACTCGATCCATTCACGGACTTCGATCTTCAAGAAAACTGAAAGCTTTCCACATCCATCCTCCTTCACCACACAACACTCATGGAATGAGAAAAGGATAGAAAAAGCAGACCATCAGTCTCCACCGTCCTGGACAGAAGCTGCCAGGAATGCCCATCTCTTCCAAGATTTCTGCAAGACAACTGGCTTCCTGGGAACCCCCAGGCGGGTCGGCACGCACCAGGGGACTCCAACACCCCTTTGGACCCTTCTCCTAGACTCACCTAGACAGGCAAGACCAGCTTAGCTGGAAAAGGACGATCCATTGCCACCTTCTCAGAAGGTACGACTGGACTCGCCAAGCTTGTACAAGGTACGTGTTTCCAATCACCTGAGAAGTTACGACTGGATCCCTAGGGTTGGTAGAATCTATAGTGCTACTGGCCCAACCTCCGTTTCGGTTCGGTGGTTGGGGTGGGTGCCAGGGGGGTCGACTACCACCGAACCTGAGGAGATGGGGCGTTCGGAGCTCTAGGGGAATCAAGCCCAGCTTTGCCCGGGGACTTTGGTTCCAAATTCGAAACATCCACCCGGTTCGATCGGCGCATTCGACCAAAGATCCTGCGATTTGGCTCTGGTGAAGCAGGCGGCTTCGCATTTCTATTTGGTTTCCATCCAAGCATGATGCGTCATGATGTCGTCATGTTGCGTCGCAATTGTTTTTGGTGTTTTTGGTGCGCGTTGTTCAACAGATATCGGAGACCTTGAATATTTTTGGCTCGGATGAGATGCTCAGGATCCGTCATTCTCTCGCAAACAAGGCAACTTGTATACTTACGTTGCGCGCGAGTGTCACGCAAGCATCATTCAGCACCTTCAGCACCCCCTCGCTGGTTTTGTGTGGGTTGGTTTGCCCGAAGGTGCGGATTGGCCCGCACCTGATCAGTCCCAACCCGTTGGGACTCGCGCGGCACAACGTCCTGTTCGTCGAACCTCCCGGAACGTCCCGGGAGTTCCCGAGGCACTGGGCGTTTCGATGTTGGGTACTGATTGCCAGTCGAGCAGCACCTGGGCCGCCAAGGAGAGGTACGTGACCCGACGCTTGGATTGGGTGCTCCGACGCGCCGCAAAAGAGCTGCGAAGGAGCCGCGAAGGAGGGGCGGAAAAGCACCATGCCGGGGGCCTTCTATTTTTTTTGGGGGGTGGGGGGTTGAGACATTGGCTGTTGGCACCCTACTAGATGAGATACAGTATATCATAAATTGGTCATAACATCCACAGCCTCTGAGCACAGCTCCAGCTTTGGCATGTGGGACTCTGGTGGCGCTATCATTAAGGCACCTGATGTTGAAAAGGAGAAAGTAAGCACATCATGTTTTGCCAATCACAACCTCTTTGGCGCTGGAAGATCACAAAGTTCAAAGTGGCCTGGCCACACCCTGGTGGTGCATTTTGTGGCCAGAGCCACACCTTGGTAGGATGAATTTCAGGGGCGCAGCCTGGCGCAGCTTACATGCACCATACACCATCCCAGCAACCCATCCTTCCAACATACATGCCATATACTAAATTTGTTTACGTCGTAGACTTCAACCCAGTTTCCGTGAGTTGGAGAGACCTCTCCCAGGCGGATGTCCCAGATGTCCCTTTGCTAAGGAACGTTTCCTGGACAAGTTCTGCAACTTCGCCAGATGGATTTGACTCATGCGAGCCTGCCCAAGTGCGCCTGGGACAGAGGTTCGAAGTTCGGAGGTTCCGGTTTGGGACTTGGCCCCCTGGAAGGCAATGGGGAGAGATGTGGAAGGTTGTGGACATGGCAATTCACACCTTGTGGATGTTGGTGTTGGAACTTCCTTCGACCGAAGTGAGGATCTACCTTGGTATTGTGAAAACCAGGGAGGGCGAGGTTTCGGGTCACAGGTGGTTCTACAGATCCCGCGTCCTGCAAGACTTCGATCTGCAGCGTGTGATACATAAAGAAAGGGAGAGCAGGGAAGGACCGGCATTGTCTGGAGCCTTTCCCTTCAAAAAACCGGCTGCGATTCGTAGCGGTGACGACAGCTACAGCTACGACATGCTACGACATGCCGACCGAGCTTCTGGTAGAGCAAGTTGCTGTGTCAAATATAGCTTGGTTGGTGGACTTGACAGAGCGTCCACTACGGTTGGACGGCGGAGTGCGAGGTGGTTCCTCCCAAAGATCGCAGATGGAGTTGACCCACTGAGTTGAGCAGCAATTACGGATGGGCAGTTTGTCAGTTTGCAGATGCTTGCAGGATCCTCGGCAGGGTGCCTACAGATTGGCAACCGATAGTTGGAAGGAACGTTACTTTGGTGTTGACATATGTTGACATAATGTATAGAGGAGGCCCGAATCAGTCACGCCACACCGCATCAGATGCTGAAGACAACACTGTGGACCAGGTCCAGCATTTGGTACATGTGTACATCAGGAATAATTTTAGAAGGTCAGGATCTATAAGTCATATTTTTGCCAGGCCCCCGGTGGTACTATTGGTCTTTGGCAAAGTTTCAACCATTGCTTCCTGCCAACGCCCGGGTCACCACCACCAGCCCAAAGGGCTTAGAAGATCATTGAATCAATCCAAGAGAGCTTGAGACCCTTTGGGACCCTGCATGGGTATATAGATTCACATCCTCTGTTAGATCTCCCAACCAACCTGGAACCATCGCGCAAGCGCGGCTGTGCCCCGTGCACCCCGGTGGGCGTGGTGCTGAGGCTCTTTGGCTTTGGGCGTACATCCGGAGGCTACCAGGTCAGCCATTCTCGCCTGTTCTCAGTCTCTTTTTGGTTTTTTTTCGGGTGATCATTGTTCAGACCCACGTGACTTGGCTAGCCTTCTGCCCGAGAGCAGCAAATAACTAAACCTTCTCCCTTCCTTGCGCTTATTGTTTTTAGATGTGTTTAGATTGATTGCGGCGCGGCGTAAGTTGAAGGAAGTGGAGGCAGCTGAACAGTTTGTGAAGTTGCTTCTGCAAAAAAACGCCGCCCTGTCCCCTTGAATGGCCCAAGTGCCTGACTTGCTTGAGTTTAGTGGCCTGCCAGCCTGGCTGGCTTAGCCTTTTGTGTCCACCATTGCCAGAAAAGGGCCCAGTGGGAGTGTGGAGGGCTTGGTTCTGTGTTATAAGTTATATATTGATGGCGGTAGCTTCAATGTGTGAGATGGGTATTATTCCAATCTAAAATGCATAATGTAACATGTAACATATATATATATATTATGTTATTATCTTTATATTTGTATTTCATTCATGCCGGGAGTCCAGCAGACGCAGTTTCGAAGCCCGGAAACACCCTCAGTTCTGAGTGGAAAGTAAAGGGTGTGCATGTTCCTTTCCCCGTCAAAGTTCCGGCTTCATCCGGCTTCTTGCTCCCATCTTTGCTCCTGCCTTCCAGAACTTGGCACGCCGAACATCCACCGAGGCTAATTGGTGGCCAGTTTCAGATACAGGCTAAAATTCCCATACAGAATGTTGAGAGGAGCTTGTTTCGACCTTTTGAAGAGTGCAGGTACTACACTGAAGGAACTGAGGGAACCCCCAAGTGTTGGACAGCTGGGTTTCACGAAGCTGGGTTACACGATCTTTACACGCCACGTCCTCTGTGTCAGGACGGGCTGGGTGGAAATTATCTCAAAGGTTGTCCACAGCCTTCTGCCTCACGGCCTGTGCGTGTTCGCTACCTACTTCGACATTGACACTAGGGTGGCAGAGATCCGCCAGGGCTTGGATGGCTGGGGGGTTGGAGTCTGGTGAGCAGCTATTCCTAGCTTTACGTGCGCACTATACTATACTATCATTTTCTCATCCACTTGTATAATCAGTTCAGTACTTATAGTAATTTATCCGATGTAACTTTATATATATTCATGCAATCCAAGTTATCCTAAATCAAACAATGCATTTCGTAATCCAAGTAATATAACAGGACCCTCCAAAGGGGCCCGAAACTTGCCGATTTTTCGCACTGAACGGGTCTCTTTTTGACACTGTGGGGAGAACGGTCATGTCCCTGAAATTTGCAAAGAAACATCCGGTAGCTTGGTATTGCAGCCTCCTACGAAGTACGTGATGCATGTTGTTTGGGGGGATTGGGGACATCCCACCCAAATCCTGATAGGATAAGGTGAACGTTTACTACTAGGCCATTGCCACTAGAAACAAAAAGCTACTAGTAGCTAGAAGCTATTAGGTTGGAGGGCATTACCACTAGGAACAAGAAGCTACTAGTAGCTAGAAACTATTAGGTTGGAGGCCATCGCTAGTAGGTTCACAACCTCCACAGCTTCCACCCCGCATGCTGCAACGATCGCCTCCAGGAAGCCGCAGAGGTGCTTCGCGTGTGCCAGAGCTGTGGGATGAAGATGCAAATCTTTGAAAATCCTTACTACCAGGTGTCTTTGCCTAAAGCAGAACATCTTCCCGTCGACACCAGCTGTTTGGGACTGGAATAGCCACCGAAAAACCTCCAGTCCCATGGAGTCTTAGGGAGTGAGAGACGTGTGGGGTGGTCGAAGGAATCCGTTTTGAACGATACGTGCTGCTATACGTGCGGCGGTTTTGGCACCCATGCCAGATCTACAGTCAAGGGTTAGAGTGAAGGGTTTCTTGGAGCTGGAAACCGTGGGTTTGGAGCATCCCCAGGAGGTCGTCGCCAAGAAGCCTAAGAGGCCTCAGGCGGCCTCAGAAGTCTTCCTTTTCTGCACTTTTCCACGAATAGGGATCCAACATGATCCAATTATGAGGATGTAGACATGAACTGGGCTTCGCCACCTCATCAATTAATAGATCCCAAGTTCCATCTTCTCGCGTTGGATTATCAGGGTCTGCTTGAGGTCCCTCTTGGTCAGTCAAGTTCTTTCCAAAGTTCCTGCAACTTTGCCGGGATGTTTCCAGATGACTGATTTTCATTGGAAACAGCCCTTTCTCAGATCCCTGAGCCTTCTTGTACAGAGACATGTCGGGGTGTTTAGGGTTGAAGAAGGCTTGCCTCCTCCCTTCCCTTTCTTGAGGCCTTTCGCGAGCTGCCGCCGAGCCCGGCACTGCGCTTCCTCGTGGTTGGGAAAACGTCCGAAGCCCGACTCGGCCGGTCGGTGAAGCATCCCGCCCTGTCCCGCCCCTCAAAAACGTTCACTTCCCTAAGAATCATTGGACCCTCCTATGGAGGGTTTGGACCCTGCATAGCAGGGGTTTGGACCCTCAATACCTTCACCTTTGAGGGTCCTTGATTCTTAGGGTTGGGTGATTCTGAAGTGCACACCTTTCGTTCAGTCTCTTACGTCCTGCCCATGGGCCACGAAAGGAAGGATAGAAACAACCAGCGGAGAAGACACCTGGTGTTGGTATACGGGAAGCATCCTGAAGATCCGGATTCATGAAGAGCTGGACCACTTGGGTGGAAGCGTCGCGAAAGCTATGGTGGTTGGTGCAATTTCTGCACCTTCGATTCTATGGCCCAGAATGATCTCGGTAGGGGTGGCTGAAAACGGGGTCGTAGGTATAATTCGGTATAATTGTACTATGTGTATACCTGGACCTTCAAAGGTAACGCCTGTTTACGAAGGTGCTGGTATATCTGAACTATTCTCAACTATTCTCCATCCATGAATGGTTTGGAGTTGGACACCACAGCGTAAAGACGCTGAGTGGCGGAGCACCGATGCTCGTTGCCCAGGTTCCCATCAGGTCGACCAACCTCTCTTCGACTCAACGCCTTTCGAGTCCTGCTTGGATGTCTAAGGCCAGGACCGCCCATGCCGCCTTTGGAAAATGGACGGTATCAGGCACAAACCGGCCGCGCAAGTGCGAGAAAGGCTCGTTTGGTCGTGGAGGGCACGGGAAAGACCTGGCGTTAAGAGTCCGTAGGTTCACAGCCCCAGAATGCAGGACGGGGCCCAAGTCCAAAGTTCCTCGACATCGACCCATCCACTGGATGTGACAGGCGCATGGACATGCGCATGTTCAATCTGTTAAAGACCATAAAAACGATGCCATCATGGGCCATCCCCATGTGCGGACCCAAGATCGGTGTTTCCAGGGACCAGTTCGGTGCCCAGCAACCACTTCAGGTGGAGGGCTTTAAGACCACCTGATTGGTGTGTATTTTGATACCCCTTGGCCCGGTTTGGTCTATTTCCCGAACCCGAACCAGGGGTCGAACAGGTGTCAGTTTGAATACACCCACCCGTTAACAAGGTCGTGGAAACCGTGATCCTTTGGATCATATTGGCTCCAAGTACTTCCTCAGAAGGTACCATTCTTAGAAGGTACTTGGAGCCCTAGGGATTGAATCCTTCGCCCAACACGTGCGAGACGCGGAGACGGCGAACTTGGGGGTGGAGACGCGGAGACGCGGAGACGGTCGGTGTCCTTGAAACACCTGGACGTGACTTCAAGTACATGTTAGAAGCTGGAACGTGACCAGTTAAGGACCCTATAGACAGGTGCTTGACGACTCTAGTTCTCTTTCTGGGGTAGTCGGACAAAAAAGCCTAGATAGTCGGACTACTTCGGGCCTACCCTGGCCCTTGGGTTTCGGGGTCTGAAAAGGTGCAGTTTTCAGCGAGGTAGGCTCTGATAGCACCAATTAGGTGGATGTGACAAGGGCACCTCGCACCGAACCGCTTCCGCTGCCGCTGCCACGGCTCGGCTCACGGAGTGCGGAGCCCAGGCCCTTAGCCTTGGCTCTCGTGGGACGGGTTTGTCTCAAAGAACGGGGACCCCCGACCGCCGCCCCGGTGGTGGTTTTTTGGTGGATTGGTGGTGCTTTCCCCGAGGAGGTTTATGTTCGATTTTCCGCATTCCACCACCTTCGACCGAACAGAGGGGCTACGACGTGCCCACGGAAACAGACTGGGTAGGCTGGTCTCCCCGAAATCGGAGACAAACCCATCTCCCAGTGCAATCTTAGACCATTCACACCAATTCATATTATAAAGATTGATCTATCTACTGTATACAAAGACGTGCCGTGACATCGGAATCGATCACCCAATGTTACCCAAGCTCCAACTCGGTCACAGAGATTCACTGGGCACTCATTTTCTGGAACTGTTGAATAGTGATTGGTTGATCGCGCACGCGTGCCGAACGCGAGCGTCTCGTACCAACGGCACGTGCATCTGGGGCGGCGAGATCTCGCCTCGATTGCCACGGTTCAGCAACTGGCCGCGAAGGTGGTCCTGGACATTGCAGCATGGAAGAAATTAGATGAAGTCTTCGATGAAAAGTCTGAACATAGTGGAACTATATTGGCAGGGACACCCCAAATTTCAGCGTTGATTTCATTGGCATGAACTGAACCAAATTCGACGGAGGATTTGTTTCCTTTCCCTATTCGAGCCATCTCGGGCTACTCTTTTCTTTGGCGAGAAGCGTTCTTCGAATGGGATACGATGCCATTGTGTGAAGTATTGTGTTTCCTGTGCCGAGTGCTCACATTCCTCACATTCTGCCTGAGGAGTTGTCCGAAATCGCCTTCATCTTCGACCTTGTTTTGACCCCATGGCTACATCATCATCCTCGAATTCAGCTCAGCAGGAGCCAGGTGATCCGTCGTCCACATCTGCCAGCAGGCGCGAACTCGCGAACTGGCTCGAGTTTGGGTATATAGGGAGATGCCCTGCAATCGGGTCTATGTTCCGAATATTCCTTTAGGGTCGGAGGTCCCTCCTGAATACACACCCATTTGGGCTGTACCCCAATTATAGTATACATATTATATACATTGACGTGAACATGGCCCCGATTCCAGCACCCAGTTTGGGAGGCAGGTCGACCCCCCCTTTCAGAGGTCTTTTTCCATCGCTGTACCCGTTGGTTGGGTGCTAATCGTCGCATGCGACGACGGTTTAACCGTCGCATGACCGAAAGGGTCACCGTTGCTGGTCCGAAGGTCGGACTGATCCATTCCCCTTGGGCTCCCGTCGCTACGCGAAGGTTGCCACGAAGGTATGACTGGACCCGCAGATGGCACCCACCTCCCCTCATTCCCACCGAACCGAAACGAAGGTACGATTGGAGCCCAAGGGATCTCCTGGCACCCACCTCCCCTCCAACACCTTCGAAGCGAAGGTACGACTGGAGAGGGATATATAAAAACCAGCCAAGTGCGGCAGATCTGTTGCATCTTTCCCATACACTCGACTGGAAGAAAATAGCCACCCCAAACCAACCCCCCTGGCACCACCACCCCAACTGATCCGCAGTCCTATGGCAGTGTTATGGCAGTCCCATGGGTCGCATTTGGGGTTGAAAGATCGAAAGGTCCTTTCCGGACTCCAAAACCGATCCTTGAGGCCGTCGCCCTCCCGAAGGGAAGAGCTGCAGGATGAAGCAAGAGCTGAAGAGGTTCATCCAGACACGTGCCGACCATGCGTGTCATGGCCGCATGGGCTGGCATTTCTTGGGAAGGTTTGAGTTACTCGCATATGCCTTCATGCGTGCTGAAACTGCTATGGCGCCATGTCGACATGGTACGTCTCTTCCCTGTTAAGCACAAGTCCCATGGGCGCGCCAGGACTCGACTCGCTGAGTGAGGAAAGGAAGCGAAACTCACTCGCTCGAACGAAGAAGCGAATCTCGTGGAGACGTGTCCGATCCTGGCAGCTTCTTTCTTCGGTCTCCGAACACCCACGGCAGGTTGAAGTCCTTCCTCCAAGTTCGATGAGGGTTAGGGTTAACCCCTTTTTCACGCGGTTCTCAACAAAAATCGGGGCGGGCCAGCGGGATTTGGTTCCACTTCGGGTCGGATTCCATGGACCCTCATGAGCCGGCTCAAAGGTCATGAGGTCTAATATACCGTAGGGCTCCAACCATATCCTCAGAAGGTGGTTAGACCCCCCAAACCCACCCCAACCATTTTCTCAGGAGGTGGTTGGAGCCCCATAGGGATAGATCACATTAAAAGGTGGTTGAAACCAATACGAATTGACCGGATCCAGCCGGATCCGGTCGGTTGCTGGTCGGGTTCCGTTGGACCCACGGCTTGACCGAGGCGCGACGTGTCTCGAACTCAGGTCTTTCAATATTCTATATTTGGATGTATCGACCGGCCTCGGTGCCGTTTTTGTCACTTGCCTCATGATCCTCCTCGCTGGAAGCTGCGGAAGAGCACGCGTGACCATATCAAACAACAAGTTCCTGGGCAGGTTGCGGCGCAGGTTGGGGCGCACTCGCGAGACAAAGCGCGTTTGGGGGTTGTGCATTTTGTGCCCTTTGGACAATCCACCTAAACCCTAAAACCTCCAACCTTATAGCTCTGTTTTGGGTTTGGAGGGTTAGTCCAGTCCCCTCATGAGCAGGTGAAGGTGGAGTCCTGAGGGATTTCACATACATTCCGGCCAGGCATGGTGGAATCTACCAGTTCTTTAAATCCAATGATTTTCAGGATGAAATCCTTTGCGGAAGAATCCAGCTATCTTTATAATCCCTAGGGCTCCTGGCCTGCCTCCGTTTCGATTCGGTGGTTTGGGGTGGGTGCCAGGGGGGTCTAACCATCGAACCTGAGGAGATGGGCCAGGAGCTCTAGGGAATGAATGGTGGATTCCCACCATCATGGTATCTGGGGTCCATTTGGGGATGGTAAGTGCTCGAACGTGCTGAACATCCTCCTTGGATGAACCACAGGAGCTTCCGGTGGAGCTTCCGGTGCTTAGGATGCGGATAGGAGTACTAGCTAAACACCTCTCGCTTCGAAAAAATGGCCGAGTTGGGGTAGAGACCCTAGGGCTCCTGGCCCATCTCCTCAGGTTCGGTGGTTAGACCCCCCTGGCACCGACCCAACCATCTTCGAAACGGAGGTTGGTTGGAGCCCTAGGGAGAGGTCGTCAGAGGCAGTATGTTTTTTTGAACATGTTGGCTTTGTGGAGAAAATTCGTAGCCCACATCTTCAGGTGCAAGGCCCTTCCAGTGCTCCATGCCAACTTGTTACAAACACATATGCAGCATGCAGAGACATCGGAGACTTAGTTGTGGGATCAAAATCGGGGGGAACTCAAGAGTTTCAGTAAAAGCATCATGTTTTTTTGACTTCCATTCCTTGACACGACCTGTTTGTTTGCTTTGTTTGTTACACTCCCGATTCGCTCTCCCCCATTGGTGGTGATTCCGGAGTCTTTCTTGGGCGGCATCGTTTCGAGTCCCACACAGGTTCGCTTGGGATTTCAATTCCCCTAGGGCTCCTGGCCCATCTCCTGAGGTTCGGTGGTTAGACCCCCCTGGCACCCACCCCTGTCCCATCTTCGAAACGGAGGTTGGTTGGAGCGAGTCCCAGACAGGTTGTTTGGGATTTCAATTCTATCATCCCAAACCTCTCCAACTGACCCCAGTGCGCAGTGCACAGGTGCGGGAACTGCTTGTCGTACTGAGTACTATTACTGCTTCGATCTGCTTTCAGGTTAACCCGGCTCTGGTTGTCTCTGGGTCGGGTCCCATGAGTCAATTGAACAACTTGGATCCAGGAGTTTCAGAATCCAGTCAGATAGGATGAGTTAGACCACAGTTCCATGGAGACTCCTGCTGTGTAGGGTAGTACTGGATCCGGATCCCACTGGGAGTTCACCCCCTACACCAGATGGACCACCCCAGGGCATCGCTTCAGAGTCGCGAAGAGGACCCAGGTCCACTCCATAGGACTGGCCATGTACCAGGATTCCAAGTCTACCAAGTCCGGTGGTTTTGGGGACACTTGGGACACCCCGTTCCTCACCTCTGGCGTCTAGACGACACCTCAAGGCTCGGACAGGTCCTGGTGGATGGAATTGGCCGCTGAAAACTGCAGTAGATGGACCAAATATTCGGTCACCCCTCAGTCGATGACCGTCACCAACCCCCGACCCCCAAAGGTCAATGTTGAACACGACCTCATTGACTTTGTGTTGCCAGGGTTTGATTTATTTCGTCCGTTCGCCGAAGCACTCTGGCAGGCTCGCTAACTTTGAATTTTGGGGTGGAAGGGGTCCAAGCGGTTTGAAGGGTTTGAACATTTGGCCATCTACGGTAGCATAGACCCGGAAAACCACTGGGTTTGTAGAAGAACAACACGCATACAAAGCACGTATAAACCTGATCGAGAAAAAACATTGGGTGCCCTTCGACCAGGGTCCATGTGATATCTTCGGAGTCGGGGAGTGTATCTCTTTGACCCCAAAACAAAAACATCACCCCCGGTCAGTCGGCTGTAGGGCTCCTGGCCTGTCTCCGTTTCGGTTCGGTGGTTGGAGTGGGTACCAGGGGTTCTAACCACCGAACCTGAGGAGATGGGCCAGGAGCTCTAGGGGATGGACCCAAACTTTCATGAGGTATTTTTCATCCAAAAAGCCCTTCCGTGGTGCTGGCTTAGATCTACTTGGATGGGAGGCACCTTTCACGACATTTCATGACCAGTTGCTTCCCCAACGCAAGCAGCCAGTTGGTTCGCCAACACGGCTCGTCCCCCGAGCGCGGCGGAAACGCCACGCAGCAGTAAGGTGTTGCCACTTCTGGCAGATGTGGCCTCGCAGCGGACCAGGGACAGAATACATTCCATGGCAGTGAACAATCCCTACATCCATACTTTGCTCCGGGGTTATACGAACAGCGATGAATCTCGTGCTGCTCGGCAAAATGTGAAGCAAGCGAAAAAGGAGGCCAGTTAGAAGAGGCACAAGATGTAGCCCTACTTGTAGGGCTCCAAATAGCTTCTAAGAAATTGTTTGAGGTGGGTGCCATCTCCGGGTCCAGTCACACCTTCGTTGCGTTTCGGTATGACTGGGCCCCTATCTTAGTGGTCCAGATGGTGTGGATATGTCGATGGGGAAGTACCTGGTACCAAAAGGGGCCACGTACCACCTGGGTCCCGACATCACGTTCTGGGCGGGGTTGATTCGGAGTTGACATGATTCATACTCCCTAAGGATCCAAGTACCGTCTGAGAAGGTGTTTGGGGTGGGTTTGGAGGGTCCAAGTACCTTTTGAGGAGGTACTTGGATCCCTAGGGACTGTAATCCCTAGAGCTCCTGGCCCATCTCCTCAGGTTCGGTGGTTATATAGATCCCCCTGGCACCCACCCCAACCATCGAACCGAAACGGAGGCAAGCCGGGAGCCCACGTTTGGGAATCACATGTGTATGTACCTGGACCCCCAGTCGGGGTGGTGAGTGGACAACGGAAGGTCTTCGGGGCGAGAAAACATGGACAGTCAGGTCCTCCGTCATGCGCACCATATCACCCACATCACAGATCCTTCATAGCGATAGGGTTGGTCGTCCCAAACCTGCCAGGTGTTGCGCCTGGTGTGGCGCAAGGGCTGCTTACTCGTTACATCTAGCTACCCAACTTTGAAAGAGAACTGTTGTTACTAGCTTGTGCTTTGTGGAGTAGAACTGTAACTTGTGAGATCTTAACGGTTTAAGACTGACTTTAAGTATGCTTCAGAGTGTTTTGGTCATACACCTGGCAAAGTTGATGTTATTATGGCCTACCCTTCAAAGACTATTAACATAAAAGGTTGAAAGAAAGGTGTGATGTCTAGAATTCTTATGACTCCAATGTTTGTTCTGGTTAAACTACTTTAATCAATGGTACCTGGTTACCAATCCTTTGGTATATACACAGCACAACGTTCGTGGTTTTTCCTCTCCCATCATCCAGGTGCTGCAGCATTGCGTGCGCGGTTTCACCCCTTGTTCATCATGTCATCATGGAGATGTTCATCCCTGAAGTCATCGAAGTGGAAAGCCACCTGTTTGTATAGGGAAATTTTATAACATGGTCATCCAAGGGCCGTGCCATCCACTTCCATGATAGTTTCAGGGAGTGTAGTTTCCCCTGGTGCCCGCACCTGATCTGGTTTTTTGTTTGTTTGATCATCCAGGCAGCCCAGACCCCGTAGTGGCCACAAAACCAGGTGTTCCTGGAATAAAACAAACAACGCAACAAAACCGCCGCCCAGCCCAGGGTCTTGCCAATACTTGGTGGCTTTGAGCACGGAGGCATCGGCAAAAGAAGAGCACGGGCTGTTTGCCAACAGCATGCCTGTAGACAATCATGGACCCTTGCAAGGCCCATGATCAGACGCTTCATGCGCATTTCTGTGGCCAGAAGCTCATGTGTTAGGGGTTGTCCATGTTCACCTGTGTTTTGGGACTGTCAGGGTTTTTTGTTGTTTGGCCATGCATACTACATCCACGCAGAAGTGTGGCGCGTTGTCGGCACGACACCTGGCACGACAGAGCGAGACAACAGGAGAATCGCTTTGCCAAGTGCCATGAAGCCACACACCGCTCAGATACCGGATTTAATGACCAGTCTACCATGCAACTTGGGAGTCTGCCACTTCGACAGTTTGAACGTACGCTTCTGGACCAAGTGACATCAAGTGTGAAAGCTTGGGGAAGACTGCTCGACCATTTTCTTCCCGCGGGGTTCGGTGCTGAAAAAGCACCTCCTGTCGTGGGAGTTTACCTTTGATCTTGGGCAAGCGATGAGAGTGCGCAGCCCGGTCCTATGACTTGTAACACTCAGAAAACATGTATGCCTTTTCTACAGTTCTCTACCATCATCCACTGTTACTGGTAAAGGAAAGGGATAGACCCAAGAAATGGAGACACAGACAGTTCAGTCCATTTTTTGCTGCACCAACACGCGCTTCCAGCGCTTGCCGACCGCAGTGACTGCAGATTTTGCCAAGGGGACCGATCTGGGTCTATCCGGTTCTGGCATCTCGTTGGTCCTTATGTCCCTCGGCAAAGGCCCAGCGTAGACACGATGGTGTATCAAGTTCAGTATCCTTGGAAAAAGATCCCAAGAAGAGTCAAAGAAAAACATATGTTCATCGTCCCAAAGTGGCTTGGTTTTGCCAGGGCCTGGTCCATACTCATGTTTTGATGAAGAAAGTCTTGTGTCAGCCAATAGACTCCACTTGACCTGGATTGGTTTTCGCAATCCCAAATGTCGGCTACATAGAAAGTACAACTTGAACACAAGCTTCTACCGTGGACTACTACTAGCTTCTTGTTAGTAGCTTCATAGACCTCCTTGTAGCTTCTTGTTACTACAGGTGAAACGATTCCCAGTGAAACGATTCCCCAGGAAGCTTCTAGGTACAAAGCGGGTTTTTGCCGCTTGGGGCACCGTTGCCAAAAAGGCGGGCGGTTCGACGTTCCCACCCGCCTCCGTCAGCGGCGTCCAAAAGGACCGCAGGGGTCGCATTTCTTCGCTCCCTCCCAGTCGACCCCGAACCAGGACACGACGAATGGGACGGGCGTACTGAACCCCCTTGGGGGGAATTTCCAGTGAACTGGAGTCACGAACTCGGACGCTACGAACGGGGCTCCTGGCCTTACTACTAGAAGCAAGAAGCTACTAGGTTCCTTTTTGTTCAGTATCAAATGCGTCCACCGCTTAGCCCTCTGAAGAGGGACCTGACATAAAAGGTGTCCAAGTACGGAAAAACTGGAACACAGTATCCACCAGGGGCCCTAGCAGGTCGTGAGGGGCCCTATAGCAGGTCGTGAGGGGCCCTAGCAGGTCGTGATCCTAGCAGGTCGGGGTGCTAAGAAAAGATGTGAACCAGTAGTTCCATGTCGGACGCCACCCTTTGTGACTCCTGGAAGGACCTGTTTCCATGTCCGGTCCTGTCCCATATATTGTTACCTTCATTAAATCCATGAATCTAGACTTCAAGAGGTCTCCCAACACATTTCAGTTCAGGTTTTCTCAAGGTCTCCCAGGCTCGGTCCGAGTTCGCCCAGCTTCACACCCCGGGGGCGTTCCAGGGGCGAATTAAGACCTTCAATGCCAAGCATGGCTTTGGCCGCTCAGCGGAGTGATGGGAGTGACGGCTACGGAAGGGGAAGGGGACGTGGGACGTGACGGCTCTGGGATTCCTCATGTTGTTAGAGCAGGAGGCAGTGGGGGCAACTCTCAGAACTCTCGGGTTCACAACAGCGCTCCCTATGCGAAGCGAATCATGATCGATCTGAGGCTGAGGGAGGATCAGAATGGTACTTGTAGCTATGGCTAAAAATGGGAACAAAAGCGCTGAAGGGTTTGTAAGTTTAAACAATTCAATGTGATTTTGGTGATATCCCTTCAAATATGGTCAGAAACATGGAATGGTTTAGATATCCTTGCCAGTTCTTGATCAGAAGAACCCTTTATTTGATTTTATTTGTCCGTATGAATCTGTTCCCATCCTTGGTGCGAACATCGCAACCATCAAATTTACCAACATGGTGGACGAACTGGGTCCAGGAGGAAACCCACAGAATCTAAAGCCTTTTCAGAAAGTACTCGTGGATCCATGTTTATTTGATTTTAATTCAAGTAGACTTGGGAGAACACTGACCAAGCGAGAACACCAAGAGTGCTGAGGACTTGACGAGGCCAGAAAAAAAAGATGACAGATCCTCCTGATAGGTCCTTATAGGTGCCTATACCCTAGGCTTCCAACAACCATTAATTTAACAGGCTTTACCCAATCAACTAAGGATTTTACAATACAAAAACCAGGTCAACCATTGTTTTAATGGTCTTTGACTCCCAGGGTATATATATATATATTTCTCCCCAAGGTTTTGTACGGCTCGTTCAGACTCGATTGCTCCAAGCTGCTGTGCTCCAGTTGAGTTTTGGGGACTGCAATCTACTTGGATCGTTGGCCGGGCGGTTTCTCGGGCGGACGTTGCGGAGCCTGAGGGTTTATCGATTGCCCTTTGGCCGCCGAGAAGTATGGCCGCGATGTCTTCATCCACAAGGCCCTTCCGACCTCCGGGTGTTCGCTCGTTGCGGTTGGGTGCGGTGGCGACAGACCTTCGAAGGGATGTGGATCGGTCCGAGAAGGGTAGGAAGGACCCCCCCCCCCGCTTTGGGGGTGAAAGGAGGTGTTCGTATTGGACGAAACCAGAGAAAGCTCGATTCAGGACGTTTGAGAAACGAGGTATACCTGAACCCTGAGTCACAAAGTAATTATTGTAGAATCAGAAATATATAGAAATGCCTCCACAGGCGTGTTGTCTTTTGGGAACCTTATAAGGAATCAGCCTATTCTCAGAGTGTGGGTGTTTTGCTTGCTGCTATGACAATGAATGTTTGAGGAACACGCTCATTGGACGGTAGCTAGGGTTTGACCATGTTTGACCCTCACACCTGTAGGGTTTGGAGCCAAGGAAATATGTAGCAGTTGGATGCAGTTGGTTCGGGTTCGGGTTGCCTTTGGGTTGGAAGAGCATGCTTATCAGACTGAAGGGGGTCGTACTTCTTCATGTCTATACTATACCCACGCTCTATAGGTGTATGCCAGTGTATGCAGCATTAGCTGCGCAGCGGGACCGAGGTCACGACGTCTTGTTCGTTTGGGAACAGTGACCCCCCCTGTTGGGAGACAGGTGAATGAATGTTGCAGTGGAGTTCATCCGATGCCAGCTGTGCAGATGAAACACAATATTTGCATGAAATGAAAGAGGAAGCAGGTACACTGACTCACTCGCATGGAAGTAGAAACTACCCTGTTTGTAGAGGAACGTAGTCTTCCAAGCAGTAAGTTTCCACTTCCATGTCAATCCGAAAACCGAGCCAAATCGTCATGAAACAGTGGTGCTCCCGCAACGTTGGCCAAGTTACCGCGCCCGGTGTTGGTTCAAGTTGATGGTTGGGCTCCTGCGCCGGGCGACGAGGTTTCGGCCTCTTTCGTCCCCTAAACGGTGCAGTCTTAGGAGCTCCCACACCGGCGGCGCTGGCGGACGTCGACCGTCCGTACCGGTTACCACCCCGATGAGTGTCTCCGACCCATGAAACATACAACATTCAGAAACAGGCAAAGGCGGTGTTTCTTCGTCTCAGCCTTTCCATTGAGAGCAACCATGCCTGTGTTTCACAGCGGTGGGTTGAGTATATTTATTAATCAATATATACAATCAAACGTCGGATCCAGAAGGGTTTTATTCTGTATCTCCATATCAACAGTCTACATGAGTGGGAATGTTCAGAAACCCTTTGAGCTGGTGCGAAGCAAACATCTTTGCCCTGAAATCACGAGAAATTGGATACCGTTTTTCCAAACCTTGTCGCCAGGGGCAGCTCGGGGACGTGCCCGTGGGCAGCGAAATCACCTTCCAAGTCAGGCACCGTTCGGGTCGAGTTTCCGGCGCCGTTCGGATCCGTTTGGCCACTGCCGCAAAGACATTTATATACCAGGACCCTCCTGGACAGGCTGTTTTGGGAGACTAACAGGTGGTTTCTGGGCACCTGTTGTCACCAGGAAACACCTGTTGCAGGGTGCTGGTATATACAATTTTGGGAGACTGCATGGGGCATGGAACTTCTGTATTCATCCCAGCTGGATGGCTGTTAAAAGTTGGAGAGGTGGGGTTCACCCAGCTTTTCCAGAGTAGACCTATATAAATGGCACCAGGAAATAATTAATATTATAATGTCCAAACTACTCTGACCATCTCGAGCAGTTCAATACAATTTCATTCAGGATCTCATCTTAGTTTGGATGCCATATGCCACCAAGCACATGTCCTTTCATCTCAAGTTTACCGTGTGGTGTGTTCTTCGGAAGTTTAACATGTGTTTTTTTGAATTTGATCGGGGAGAGTTCAGGTGTGTGCGTGAAGCCATGATACCACAGCTCATGTGTTCCTTGAAATACTAGTATTTGATGTTGGTTTGAATCTCCTGATTCATCTGTGCACACTGTGAACCATACGTATATGGTTTTGCATATTAGCCAAGTACCAAGACTAAGAATTCATGCCTTGCCAACTTGATGGTGTTCAAGGCACTTTGACTGTGAGGAAGTATGCACACCTTTTTTTGAATGATTCCTAGCACTTCCTGTCTGGGTGCCCTGGAGTAGGAGACCTAGGCCGGTAGTGGGCTGGGTTGTCCAGCCAGATGACCCGGACTGGAAGCTGCTGGTGCTGGCAATTTCAGTTTTGGGAGGATTCTCGTTCGATCCACCAATTCACTGGTAGTAGATAGACACCATACACTGAGCCACGTTGGCTTTTGGTTTTTCCAGTGCTGAAAAAAATGTCTGCTTGGCCACATACACTGTGCCACGGTGCAATTGATCAAAGATCGATCAAGACAAAACGTGTAATAGTTACTATCCCTATGGCCCTATAGGGCCCCAAGAAGTACCTTCTAAGGAGGTGTTTGAGGTGGGATGGCAGGGTCCAAATACCTTCTGAGGAGGTTCTAGCCCTAGGGATCCCTAGGGTATAGTAGCAGAAATCATCCTCGCATTTGCATGTTTGACAGCTTTCCTTGGGTCCAACCCTTGAAACCTCTTAAACCTCTTCGAAGCCATTCACTGCCCTCGCATCGATTCCGGCAGCCGCACCGTTCCGGCGGAACCGCCGCCGGTTCCGGCGCGCCAGGGAGAACAAGGACGGACATCCACAGGCCAAGGACCCAGCGCGTCCGACTTCGGAGTCCGCTCCTGCTCTACGGTGTGTCGGACGCCGGAGCTGGATCGAGCGCACGAGCGACCCGACGCGAAGCTGGAACGCACTGGAAGCGGCACGCGCAGACTCATGAAGTGAGGAAGTCTGGGGCGCTCTCGGGGGGGGTGAAGAGGTGTGCTTCGAACGTCCCAACTCGATCCCTTTTGAGGTCAACTCATTGATGCTGCTCCCAAATAAATCTGATACTTGCTGGGTTTGGGAGCTTCCTCGCTTCCTCACTTCCTGAGAACTGATTCATCCTGACTCCAGGATGTGAAGAACATGGATGGTTCGATTCCGGGTCCTTATCCCGAAGACGAGGATGCTGGTCACCAGGACTGTCGTACGGCCCCGTGTTTTCGCGGAGTCGTCTTTGGAGAGGAATGGGGCCCAGCAGCGGAGTTGGGTCCCAAAGGGAGTTCGGACCCATCTGGCCCAGTTGCAAGACATAGTGGCGCCGGGTGCTGTTTGGGTTACAACAAGTGCCAGAGCTGTTTCAATCAAGAAGTCCACGGTGTGTTTGTTTGTGTGTGTGTGTTTTGTTTTGTTTTTTGTTTTTTTTTTAATGGGGTGCAGTCGGCTGAAAATTCCGCCCGTCTTTCTTTACAAAGAACTCCTATAGTCTCCTAAGCGGCAGCCTCGAGGGTTAAAAGCGCCAAGACACAACATGATCAACATGTATCATGATATGCAGGAGGCAGAACCAGAATTTGAAAAGCTTTTGAGAAAGCAAACGCTTGCCACCCAATGCTAGTCCCTGATCTAAAGTATTTGACACTCATATCACTACTCACTCCCCCCAAGAGCCTACCATTTCTTTGTCAACCCAACTACTGATTGCACTGAGGGGAGACGGGTAAGAACGCCTACAGTAAGTAACGGCAGGAACGCTTAAGTAACAGGTAAGAACGCTTGCGCAAAAAGATTTAAAGCAATGAATCAAAGCATAGAAACACCAACAAGACATTCAAGTGAAGCATCAAGTGAGTTCCTGATATATGCACATGTTGTTCATCACTTTGGCAATTCCCGCCCAAGAAGAGGTTCTAGGAAGTAGTATGGTAACTTTGTTTAGCCCGCTTTTGGAGAGACCTGGACAGTGGCGAAATGCACCAAGGACGCCAACGGCGAAGGCTGATCTGGTACGAGCGATGATAGACTTGGAGTGGGAGGACCATGCCAGCACCACCCAGTTTGGGTGGGAGGCAGGTCGACCATTTCTGACTCTGTATGGTCCATCCGACCACCTGGGTGGTCCATCCGACCACCTGGGTGGTGTTGGTGGATCTTTGTTTGGCTTGGGGGAAGCACATATTGTCATATCCAACCCAATTCATGGTGGCCCTACGACCGACAATGGCCCAATGTTCAGAAACATGTCGAAACGGCACTTGGCCGTCGACGAGATGGGTGGCGCCACTCACCTGTCGACGATGTGCTTGACAGCCGTGGCGACGTTTGCCGCCCAATCTGGTGGTGTTGCCAGCCCTGGGGCTCCAAATCCCCTCTCAAATGAGCAAAGGCATTCTTCTTGTGCACAAGGTACGTGCTGTTCTTTTCCTTTTCCAACATGACCCGCATGACCTTTCCCACCTGCAAATCCCACCATGAGGATATGTTATTGATGTTTATGTGTTCGGCCGCCTGTGCCGGGTGGGCCAACGCTGTTGGATCGGCGCGGAAACACCCGAGTTCTGAAGATCCGAGGACGCATCCGTGTGTTTTTTGAAGAGGATCCAAAAATTCGAGTTTTTTTTGTGCGCCAAGCCATCCCCTTCTATGTTTGATTTGGGTGCGAAGCAATACGTCTCCTCGGCTCAACAGTGCTTTCTCATGTGTTTCCTCGGATCGCCGAGCTGGGGCAGTGCCCTTTCAGCGGTTTCAGGCGGCAAGGGCAAGAGGAAAGGTGGCAAAGACGGAGGAGGTCCGACCTGCAGTGAAGCCAGGCATTTTTTCACTGGTTTTAAATGGCTTCTTGCACAGTGGGGAACACCGAAGAGCACGCACATTGGGTCGCGGATCGGGTTCATTTGCCTCGAGACTGGGGAGTCTTATGGACTTTTGCTCCTAGACAAGTCCAAGTATGGGATGTTCTTCGCCCACTGAGCGTGTCAGATCTCAGGGCGAGTGAGATCTGTGAAGTTCAACAGGTTACTGTAGTATTGGTGCCATTTGTTACCTGGCAAGTGGGGGTTCGCTGCTGATCTTCATCTCTAGCATCAACTTCTAGCTAGTGCTAGAGGCTGTATTTGATTCTCAGACTAAGTTTCGTATTCAAATTGCGGATCATACATATATAGAGCCACTGCCAACAGGCCTTGGACACATGCAGGTTTCCATACAGATCTTTCTGTGACTTACACACGCTCAAAAAGGGCCTAGTATACTATCAATTTAGAACCTGAGTGACCTGGTCCAACTTCCTATCAACACAGAGGTCATGTTTGGGATCTATACCAGCACCACGGAAGGGGTTGTGATTGGAACATCATTACCTAACAAAAAGGGGTGTCCATCCACCGCCTCCTCTCTCCGTGGAGCTGGTATATCTACCTGGAGTCTCAAAGTCAAAGTACCTCGAAAAATGGGTACAAGTTCTTGTTTTTCAGGGGTCATGTCCCATTTTCTAAGGTACTAGTACTTGAAGTCGGGTGTTTTGGTCCAGGTCCAAAAAAGGCAACCCTGCTGCCAAAAGAGCTCTCTTTCTCCAATAGGTCAATGATTAGAGCACTCAGGGGTTAGCAGGTTGATGTTGTTTGATTGGTGGGTCAGCTGCGCCACCGGTCACCGGTGTCAGCGATCCGGCGCTGCGCTGCGCTGCGCTGAGCGCTCCAGGCGGTGGAAAGGGTGACCGTAAGGGCAAAGGAGATCGAAAGGGAGGCGGCGGAAAAGGACCAAAGCGTTGGGAAGAAAAGGACCAAAGGGTCCCGTGTTGATCCGCGGACCCAAAACACGTGGAGACCTAAACCGACCTCTATGACGCACAGGATGGGTCCCGAAGCGGCCCTAAAAAGAACCGCTTCGAGAACTGCATGCGGTTGTGCGCAAGAGAACCGGATGGCGGATGATTTGTTTGCCAGAAAATCGTTTGACATCTCCACATTTGGGCAGTTTGATGTAACAGTCTAATGTATTGTATAGACTCTTGATGAATAACCCCCCCATATGAAGGGGATGGTCCATTTCAATTGGGTGCGGTGCTTTATTGATCAAGAGGCTACATTACATTTTGTCATAATGGTTGTGTTTCTTGAATGATGTTGATAGGGAGACCCTTCACCCACCAGGTAGACTGGTCGACTTTCCCTTCACCGACCCCAGTGGGTCGTGTCCTGCCCCCTTGTCGCACCGCCCCCCCCCTCTTCCACGTTCATCACCAGGACCTTGAAGGTGAAAACAGAGACAAGAGAGGGTCCGGGAGGTATGCCTCATGACCTGGAAGAACTGAACCCTCCATGAGGAATCATGACCTGGAACTCTTCCAGGAACTCCTCCATCAGTGAATGAACTGGGAGCCTCTTCCTTCATGACCCTCACAAAGACGAGTGAACTCTCCGACCCTCCGTGATCCTGAGGGATCTTCCGAACCGAATTCGCGACCGGAATTTCCCACCGAAACGGAGATGGATCCGTTGTTAGGTCACACCCAGAAGATGGGCCTGTAAAGTCATGGAAGTGGATCCAGTTGCCACGATGGAAGTGCTGGTAGCCGGTGGTGACCTATACAGACTAAAACCATAAACGAAACCCTGGTTCCTGATCTATAGTGAGTGCGAATCGGTATCCACTGGGGATTTGGGACTCTGTTTGCCGCCGAAGCTCGCTGCAAGGCGCGCTTCCCCAGCGAAAAAGTTCCCTGCATGATGGGTGGCAACAGCTTGAATAAGCAAAACAAACGAAACCACCGTGTGGTTTCAACGGCCACGCCAGGGAAAGGTGGGAAAGGAGGAGGCGGAGGCAAAGGAGGTGGAGGCCCAGCTTCATTTCGGAACGCGTTGTTGTTTTTGTGTGTTTTTTAGTATTTTCATGCTCTTTCAAGAGCATTTTGGGGAGGAGCACCGTCGGCCCAGTTTCAACACAGGGAACGACAGGGAATATGTGGGAGTATGCTGCAAGCGGCTCCAAACAGCAGTTTGTGTGGGTATCCAAGGTTCATGCATGACGGTTTCATCGATACCCAGAACAACTTGCATGGGCCACAGAACAGAACATGGACATTGACAATCTTCTGTCCAAAATCCAGTGGCAAACGTGATGTTCATGTGTAGTCAATGTCCATTGTGGAAACGTCTACGTTTGTTGTGTTTCGAGATGTTTCGAGCATAGAGTATATCTATAATAAATATCTCATATACCAGGACCTTCCAACAGGTGGTTTTTGGCAACCTCTTAACCTCTAAGAGGCTATTTATAGACGCCTCTTGGAAGGTCCTGGTATCGATCCTGTTTGGTGTTTGGTCCCTTTTGCCCAGCCTTTCCACGGTGAACACGAAGCACGCGACCGTGCCGGTCTCGACCACGCACGAGTTCGACCCGATCTCCGCGGACGCGCGCTGCTCGCGGACGCGCGTCGCGGACCCGGTGGCAACGCAAGGGCCGGGCCGGACCGATGGCAGGTGGAAAGGGGAAGAAAGGTGGAGGTGGCAAAGGTTGTCGGGACTCTCAGAGATGCCGTATCGGAGCTGCAGCTCGGATAGCTGCGCAGAGAGAGAGCGATCTCGGAGTGCTGAGTTCTTGGAATTGGAAGTGCCAATAGGTGACACCGGTTCGATTGGCGGCTTGTAGGAGGAGCTGTTCATGTGTTGGGGATCCCCAATAGTAGGTGCATGGTGCATGGTATTTTGGGGTGCACTAGTCGCTGATTGGAAAAATGAACGATCTTAAGAGGTGCTGCTGCTAGGGAAGATGGGTGACAAAAACCCAGCAGACACCAGCATCTTTACTCCTTCACAACCTGGGGATGCTTTTGAGAGTCTTTCAAAGTGGACCCTCCGAGGTCGGCATCCCCCCCTTGGAATTGACATACATTCCCTAAGACGAATCAAGAACCCTCAAAGGTGAAGGAATTTAAGTATACTATCACAAGTATCCGCGTTCGTCAAGGAAACCAGCTCAAACGAATTCAATCGAGGAGTTTTTGTTTTTTTGATCGAAATCAGGGGCCAGGGGGTGTTCCACCTCTGCCTCTATCCTCCCTGTTCAGCACCCAACTCTGAACTGGAAGAGACCTTTTCACATCTGCGACGCGAACCCCTCCCGCAACATCGGGGCTGGACCGCAAGCGGTTGGGACCAACATCGTTGGGGTGAGGACCGACCAATGGACTCAGTCCATTGAAGTTACAAAATCTATCCAACGTTTCGCTTGCTTTTGAGATCCTCCAAGTGGCTCAACTGGGCAACTGTCCATACTGAGACATTTGCTGTAAACAAATGTAAAGAAACTCATGTAATTACTTCAAAGTCAGAGTTGGTCTGGATAATGGCTGTTTGTTTACCCAAAAATTGTGTGTTTGTGTTTGTGTTTGTGTTTGTGTGTGTTACGGTTTCGGCAGGTTGCATTTGTGGAGCCACACTCCATGAGCAGATCTTGGAGGTTTGTTTTAGTGGTTGTTGTGCCATTGAAAGCGATCATTACCCTAAAGTGGCTGGCAACAAAAGGACACACACATACACACACGTGGACACCCGCTGAGGACACGAATGTCTCACCAAGGAGACTTGGACCCTCTCAGCTGTAATTAGTTGTGATCAAGCTAGTGATGCAACATCAGTTGTGATCAAGTTCTGAAGCTGGATTCGTTGCGAACAATGATAGAGGGGCTGTTAGTCAGCAAAGAAGGGGGGTCCATTGGACAGTTCAACAGGAACCCTGTTTTCAGGGAAGAAGAAGGGCAGTGCACGTACATGAATCATCACGGAACCAAACCACAGGTGGGTGGAACTTTGGAGTCATTATCAGTTATAAGTTATAAGACCCCAGGAGGGTGGTGTCTTTGGCTGCAAGAGTGGACAAACTGCTGCCATTGTGGAGCACTCTTCACGCCCGGTGTCTCGGGGCAGCTCAGGGGCAGAAGGCGCTTCATTCGTCACGAGGCCTGAAGAGGTCTCATTGGACCCAAGCATTGAACATGAAGCCACGGCATATTATGCCAAGTCTGCAGGAGACATGCCTCTGGGCAGGGTGGATGGTGCCTCCGGGAGGCTAGCGAGCGAGCTTCGGGGCTCGGCAAAGCATCATCCGTGCGGACGAAAGGAAGGCGCTGAAGGTGCCGAAGTGGTGAGTGAAGTGCCGCAAGGTGCCGAAGAAGCTTCTGGGCGGATTCACAGTGACAGCCATGCCACCAGATTCAAACGTGATGAAACTGCTTGCAGTGGACCACGGCTGCTGGCGCCTTGGCGCTCTCTGACGAAAGCAGCGAGGCAGGCTGGCGTCGTGGTGGACACATGTCCGGGAAACATTTCGTTGTTGGAAAGGTGACTCCCGAGACCAAGCCAGACGTTGCTGCAGAGGGGCCCATGTCACCATTGGGTTTGAGATGGTTTGAAACGTCCCTTCAGCAGGCAAAACACATTTTGTGGACCCCACAGCAGCAAAACAGTCCTCAAGCCCCCCCAGTGGTGATGAAACTCCCAGCTGCCCAGGGTGATGCAGACGCAGTGGCGCCGCATGAACGCGCAGCCAAATCGCAGCAAAGCGAGTCCTGTGCAAGGTTGTCCAATTGTATGCAGTAGTAATTTGTTGTAATACAACATCAATTACAATAATCATGAATATGTATATAGTATCACTGGGACACATAAGTGCGTGTATATATTCAATGAGGGTGTACGTACCCTTTCAATACACATTTCACGGTCTCCAGATGTTATTCCTGATGTGATTTGAATTGATTTTATACATGCTTTTTTCTTGGAAGTTGTAAGTTTCATGATTTGAGGATTATGGATGTCCCCCGCCCCATTCCATACATTTTCCTTGAACAAAGTATCTCTCCCCCTTTGTTTCTTACATGTTGTGAGATTTTGCTTGACCCTCCACCCCGGTTCATACAATGGCCGCAAAGGTGCCAAAAATGTAGATTTGCATAGGCGAGTGCGTCACCCCCTGTGCATACATTCAGGTCTTGAGCCCCCCGTGCCATTCATACATATCCTTAGAAGAGGGGGTGTCCAAAAACCCCGAGAGAACAACAACAATGTATTGAGGCTTTGAGACGCCCTTTTTCTCTCCCCTCCCTTTCGCAGATTGTTGTTCAACACCTGTCCCCTCCATTTGCATACATTAGCCAGAAATGTATGAAACCGCTCCCCAGCAACTCTGCAGCAAACTTTCGAAGCGAGGCACGACCTTGCAAACAGAAGGCGTGATCGCTTTTCTGGGCCAACGTCTGCCCACCCGGAACGACGCTCCGGGTGGAGACCCGAAGGTTCGGCTGGTGAGGCTCCATCGGGAACGCCTCCGCATGGGATGCCTCCCAGAACACGAGGAGAATATGCCGAACACGCCATGACGGCAGAACACGCCATACGCGAACGAAAATGACAGGGAGCGGTCCGAAGGTTTGGGGCTTTCTTTCGTCGTTTGGTGGAGGATTCTTGAGGGATCTGAGATTGGCCAGAGATGGACCGTGGTAATACTTCTGATACATTGTGACAGCTCCCTATTGCCTTCCATGTTCAACTTCAATCCTGGCAGTTTCGCAGGGAAACTCACTCAAGAAGGACAAGAGACCGAAACCCGTTGCTTGGGTGTTTCCGTATCTTAAACTACAGACCCATTTGGCAAGGATTGTTGGACAGACGAAGTGCAGAGTGTGTCTTTCAGAAATGCAGAGTCCGGAGCCTCCAAGTGCCCGTTTACCAAGTCTCACCCCATGGCTGGGAATGTTGACCTACATTGACCCCTTGAAACCAACCCAATGAAGGTTTTTCGTGCCACACATGGAGTGTTGGCATGGGAAACCGGGGCATTGTAAGTACATGCGTGTTTTTCATAGCACCATAATGTTCAAATTTCTGCTGAACTAGAGGTTCCAGCTACTCTTCTCCCGGAAACCAAAAAACATGGTTGCCTTTCTATGGTGACCACCTGGTAGCAGGGTCGAATGCGAAAACAGTGAGGTTCATTGGAGTTTGATGTGAATCTGCGGTGATAGACCCTGATGGACCGACGCCTTCATCCACCAGACCTTTGGTTTGCCTTCGCAGTATGTATCCCTAGGGATCCTAGGGCACCAAGTTCCTTCTGAGGTACTTGGAGCCCTAGGGTATACAAAATATATGGAGTGTTTGAGAGATGGATATTGCATATATATACATATATTAATCACTGGACCATTTGTAGCCTCTGACCCCCGACGGGCATCGGAGCAGACGAGATGAAGAGCCAAGGGAGCACTCGTCCCTCGTCATCCAGAAATTTTCAATGGGGGTCTGAGACCAAATCTTGGTCCCATCCACTCTCGTGGATTTTGTTGGGGCACCGAATTGACTTGTACGCCCTCCAAAAAGGCAGCTCACTCCATATAGGATTGCTGGATGGTGTTGGTCCTATGTTGGCGTCCTAGTTTCAGTAGATTTCAGTACCATGTCCTAAATTTGTGCATCTAGAACTGCGCTATAGGTAGATTAAACATATTTTCTGCTGCGTTCATGCATTTGGCCCAAGGGATATATAGTCGGATTTAGGCCAGATCAATGGACGCCAGGGTTGCTAACAAAGCAAAAACAGAACCTGCAGGAACCACCTCCACTGACTGCACCGAGCAACTTCACCAACTTCACGCCATTCATTTCCCGTACACATCCACACACCAGGCTTGGCGTCCGGCCACCCACAGCGTCCCGCCGTGGGTACCCGTGGGCCACCGTTGCCATCTCTCGCCATGACCCGGCAGAGCGAGAGTGCTCGAATCGCTATGAGGCAGACGAGTGACGAGTGCTCCGCAAACAGCGAAACGGCCCGGTGAAGGTGTTCAGACCACGCTTCATAGGATGTCTACCAATAGGTAGATAATTAATGGTAGATCCCTAGGGCTCCTGGCCCATATCCTCAGGTTCAGTGGTTAGACCCCCCCCAAATCCACCCACCCCTGTCGCATCTTCGAAATGGAGGTGGGCCAGGAGGTTTTTTGGTGGAAAGATACTCTGAACATCTAGCTCGGTCTCCCTCCCAGAGCTGCTGAGCTGCTGAGCTCCCTCCCAGAGTGCCGAGGAGACGGACGGAGCCGGGTGCGAACACATCCACGAGCCCTCGATGGGACTCGTGGGCAGTATCCTGATCCACATACCGAACCTCAGGGACGGTAAGGACGGAGACTAGTAAGGTGCCAGGAGGGTCCAATGACCTTCTGAGAAGGTGGCAGTGGATCCATATAGGGTATGATTCTATTTCTTTGGGGGGGGCCATGTTATATAGGTGCTGAAAGGGCCGGACCTGGCCGAGGATATGTGGTAACATGGAGCGTGGAGGAATACCATGGAATATCCTATGTCCACCTGTCCACCAACCTGACCAAAAAACAAAGCTCCTTGATTTCCTCATATTTCCTCCAATGAAAGGGCCATGAGTGGTCGAGACATTCCGTGCGGGTGGAGCGTTTCGAAAGGCCGCGAACGAAACGGCGATCTGGGACATGTGCATGCTGCAGGTCCGGGTTTGCCTCAATGGGCTACCTGGTTACGTGGAGAAAGGCCCCTAGTAAAAAACCAGGTGGTGAACTCCACTACAAACAGGTGGCGAACTCCACGTAACCATGTTAATTCCAGGGAGAGTAGATCTCTTTGGACATCCCCAACAACCCTCCGACTCGGCCCGGGCTTCATCCAGGCACAAGACTGGTAGCGTGGGCAACTTGCGCCGGAACCCAGTTGGAGTGCGCAAAGCTTTGGTTGCATGAGAAGCAGCCCCAAAAAGGAGGAGGTGATTGCTGCTAAGTCTTAAAGTGTCACCGAAACATGTACTCAGCACAACACTGTTCAAAAGGTTTGCCAACAATTACTGACTGCCACCCGGTGGACTTGCCGGGTTTTGCTGATGTTTACTCCATCATGTGCACGCACATTCCCCGTCGTATGTCCGGCATATCTCAATGATGAGAGACCTGTGCTATCAACGGCTAGACATCGTCTTCGCTTGTCTACCATTCCTTTTCAACGGGCTGGGGGTTCGGGTGGGCTTCTTCTTCGATACATATCAAAGAATACTCATGGATCAATACAGGATTCGATTGGATACTCGCCAGGTCCTTGTAGGATCTCTTCCGCTGAAAACTCCAAGTCCTCTGGTTGAATGGTATTTGTCTTTTTTGATATTCAACTATCAGCACTTCAAGGGCCACTCATATCTCATGGTTTGTGATTTCTGGTTTGTTTCAGTCTGTTTCACCTCGCCTCAGGTTGGGTCAGAAGACTCCCAAGACCAAAGGCTCTCGTGACTTCCTGTGCCTGGACTCAGAAACGGATTCGGAGTGGTCATACCCCTCCCCCCTGCAGACGATCCCATAGAACCTGCAGAATTGACCTGTGGAAGACCATTTTCCTCTACAACCTAGTGGTTTTGGGGTTCCATGTTAATCTGCAGGGGAGTATACATTCATACTACCAGGAGTCACAAAGCGGTGGCTTTGAGCTTAGTGAGTGGATGTGACAGAAAGGACACCCCTATTCCACCAACAAGCATCCCCTAGTGGAACTACGTGGAACTATACTGGTATACATATTATGTATTAATAATTCCTGTAATTTTGTATTCACAGTGCAGGCGTGCTATCTAAGTAACTAAGTATGATCTAAAGATACATTGGGAAAATTAAAAGGACTCCACCAATAGCGGTGACATGTCAGAGTTGTGTATTGTCCGCTGCTCATATGGAGGTTCGTCATGGTTCGTTGATGTTCAGAGCACAAATCTCTTGTCCATTTCGGGTGCTACTACCATTGCCCAGACGCTCCATGAGACTGACATGTTTACATATACTTTGGGGTGAAAAGGGGTGGTTTTCAAGGGGGTCAGGCACATAGACACCAGTCCCAAGGAGCGGTCGGGGATCGGATATCGGTGGATTTGACTGCAGTGCAGCACTGCAGGGGCCATCCCTGCTCGATTGACCACATGGTTTAAGCCGTCGTACCTCCCCAATCATTTCCAGTTCCTGAGCGAATCCAAGTCAATGATGGTATGTCCATGAGTCGAACAACGGCCCCGTCCAAGAGATTCACCTCAACCAGGCCCAAAGTGGATTCGTTGGTTTGAAGAACCACCTCCAAAGACTTAGAACACGGCATCCGAGGATTCTCCCACCCAAAGCCCACGTCGCAGCAAACGGGCCAACACGAAGCTTTGTGCCGATCAATTGGAGTGGTCCGTTTCGGGGGTCAATGGGGCGGAGTATATTCCAGTCCCAGACAGGTCGTGTCTGGGACAGGCTTCATGACCTCTTAGCCACTCCAACAGGGATGCGCCGACGTGCATCGACCGCTGCGACGGCTTCATGGAGCCGTGCTTCTCGTGCAGGCGCGACAACGTGAAGCGGGTCCGCGCCATGAGCCGCGATGTGCGCCGGGAGCGCCGCGAGCCGCCCGGCGGAGATCGCGCAGATCGCTGGGCCGATCGGTTGGTCGAGTCCTTGATACGAGCCCTGCAGGTCCAGGTTTCATCCGAATCGGATGTCCTTTGATCCCAGTTCGATCCTTCTTTTGAAGTACATTCACCTCGAAGATCCTCCTGAGAAGGTACCTTGGACCCTATATACCTGTTTGGGACTGGGACATTGAGCGTCATGAGGCCCTGATCAGTGCATGAGGGCCGATCAGCTACTGAAGAAACAATGAACCTACTACCACCCTGACACGACCAGTGGACTGGCATATTGACCGAGCAGGCCCGGGGTTTGTTTATTTCGAGGCCAATGGGCATTTTCTTCCAGTCCCATGTTTGTGAATGGTGCTATGAATTACCTTTTTGGGGAAGTTCTGTATGTTTTCTTCCCAAATTCGAGCGAATCCCTATAAACTACTTGAATTCCTGTGTTTGAAGCAATCTCATGGTTTTTGCGTGTTTACCCTGTACAGCTTGCTTGGACACCAAGTCGGAACTTCAAGGACTTTGGGGGGGCATGGTGTGGAAGTTTGTTCAACGCCCCAGAAAGACCCGAAATCTTGTGAAGGTATGGATTCTCCCGAAGGAGGCCTCCAGCGTGTGTGCATCCAGGGGGTCTCTATGGTCCCACCAATGAGAACCGGGGGGAAGATGACCAAGACTATATAGATTTAACCACCTGACCAGAGTTGCGGTTGTTTGCGGTTTTGCCGATCTCATCATCTCGAGACACGCTCTGTATTCGTATGTATTTGATTTGTATTTGCTATGTCAATGTCACATTATAAGACGATATAAGAGGTGGAGTGGGATCCATCTATACCAGCATCCCCCCAACAGGTGTCCTTGGGAGGGTTGTAACAACCTGTTAGGCCCTAACAGGTCTCAATCGGTGACCTGTCGGAGGTGCTGGTATTTGTCTTGAAAACTACACCTTGCCTTTTTTGGAAATGCCAGTTGTTTCCTCCAGTGCCGGTTTTGGGGAATGGGCCCCTCTACCACTGGGCCCTCTGATGGGCCGTCTAGCAGCTATGCCCTGTCTCTGATATTTGGAGTGATTCCAGACAGTCCACACACACTCCATTTTCATGGGGATCTATCCCATTGACCCCTACAGCCTGATCCTGATCAGTCTGAAGTCTTTGGGATTCTCAGTGTATCTCGCTCGATCTGAAGACCCGAAACATGAGCCAAAATCAAGTTTATAGGGAATCACAAGCAGATGGCATCGCTCTCTTACGATGTCAAACGTCATCAGATGTGCCACATCTGGAAAGAACATGTTCTTCATGAAGACCTGTTCTTGATCTTCCCAGACCCCCCGACCTGACTTCCCCTGCGACCTCTCGGACTTCCTCATCTCCGAGGTCTGAGATGCCAAGTGATCCCAGCCTCTCGGCAGCGAAGCGGGACGGCGGCTCCGTGACTTTTGCGACGTGGCGCGGTCCGCCCAAGCGATCAGCGACGTGGAGTCTTTGGAGGCTCCTTCCTTTTTGGTGTCGATCGGTGTGGAGTCAATCTCTGAAACCTGTTCACCCAATTCGGGGTCTAAAACGACCTGAAAGGTGGTCGAGATAGGGACCCATTTGGGTGCTTTGAGGGGGCGATGTTCCAGTAGGTTTTGGGTGGAGGGGCCTCCAAGGAAAGGATCAAATCCTGAGGAACATTTGTGCACGAAATAGATGTTTGTCGCAGTATAGCCGGATGTACTGGACTTGCAACGGGGTGTCCTTCTGAGGTCCCTTGACCGGTGCTGGAGTAGATAGAAATGCTCATAATGCAATTGCTTTACACATGCAATACCAGCATACTTGCTTTGTGTGGATGCCTCGAGATATAACTTTTGTTTGATGTGCTGACTCCAGAGACCTCTCGTGGCGTTGACGATGCAAATGGCCGCTTCGCTGGCAGCAAATGGCAGGATTTTCTGTGAACATGCAAAAGTAATGCATTCAGATATATACCGGGTCCAAGCTTCATCCACATCAGGTGGTTCGTTTTGTTCTACTCATAGTTGGAGGAGGTGAAACAATCGTATTTCATGTCTAAACCCTCACGAGGCGACTCCGATTTTTGCATGCAGATTCATCCTTTGGGGATCTCAGAATGGTGTAATCTGGCAATACCCATGAGATGAAAGGTCCTTCCCAGTCATTCTCCAAGATAATTCAAGGGCACAGGAACATGAGGAGCAGCACGCAGAACGCCCTTCCTTCCAAACCGAGGCTTTAAGCTGCAGCAGTTCGCGCATCTTGTCAAACTGTCGGGGTTTGGCTCCACCTTGGGACCTCGGGCCCTTCTTTTGATGTCCATAGACTCAAAAGAAAAGGATCTTCAAAGTATAGTAAGGACACATACCGTAAGATCTCTAAGTACTGGAGGGTAGTCCATTGGTGACCCAGACTGGATGGTGGTAGGAAGACCAAATTCCGTCAAGCAGTCAGGGAGAGTAGACACGGGTCCTCAATGGTTGTTGGACGTGTCTTTATCACCTGAAAATGTGTCATGTCAATGATGTTTGGCCAGGGAGTCTGAGCCACCTGGCGGTGTTGGGGTAACGCGAAGGTAGTAACTCATCCCCGCAACCTCTTCAGGTATTTGGCCGAACCAGCCATGAGTATTCGAACTCTTTTGATCCGTCCAGCCGCCCCAGCCATGTTGTGGCGAACGCTGATCTTCATCCGTGTCCACTTGAGGCAATGTGCGGTTGTTTCTTTGGGTGCTTTTTCTGCCGGCAGACTTACACCTTGGGAATCAGATGGACTCAGAAGTCAGCCCATTCTTTGGTTCTGCTTAGAGTGATATCTATTTTCCTTATGAGCGAATCCCTTAATCCCTTTCTGAGGAAGATGGTTTATATAGAGATCCGCTCCTCCAAGAATAACGCATGCCCCTGACACTCCATGGGGTTGGAAGAAAAACGCAGCCGATCCGCAACATGTACCCGCACCCTTGGCCTCATCGGTTGCCCCCAGACAGGTCGTACCAGGGGTGGTCGTAGGTGTCTGGTTTCTTTGTCCCATCAGGAACGTGGCTTCGCGACTTCATCAGACTCCTCACAGGCAGCGTGCTTTGGACTCACGTTCAAGTCCACAAGGTCCCAAAGGCTAAAAGAACTGGCCATGTAGGGGACGACCAGTCCATCCGAACATGGCTAGGGACACTTGGCATGTCAGGATTGCTGGCCTCTTCTGGTGAGACGGTTTAGGATGGCCCCCACCGCTTACGGGCTTTCTGAGGCATTCATCCTCTTAGTGGATTGGTGGTCGAACCCCCCCTGTCACACTCCAAGGTCACCTGTCACTCTCCGACCACTGGTACGGGGTGTTTAGTTTTAGATAGGGAAGGTCTCCAACCTTCTCCAACCAATGGGTAGACTGGTCGATGTCCCGGAACAAAGGTCGGAGTGTTGGGTGACCCGTCTCCCTACTTTGTGAGCGGTGCAGCGTGTGTGACGGTCGGTCACCATTGGGAGGGTATAGCGACGCTCCAAGCCTGGACTACCACCCTAGGCTTCCAACCACCATGAATTTAATAGGCTGAATCCCGAATCTGTAAGGATTTTACACTGCAAAAACCAGGTCAACCATGGTCAACCATTGTTTCAATGGTCTTGGAAGTCTGGACCATGCTTCTCTCAGGGACCGTCCAGGATGCACTCCTCGTGCGCGACCTGGACCTCCGGACGTGCACGCGCCGACCGCCGACCGCAGGGTGACGGCGCGACTTCAGGAGATGGCACCTGGGCAGCCAGAAAACGGGACTCATGAAGCTCTGAGGCTCTGTTTTCGGCGAATTCAGGTTGCAGACAGTTTCTATTTTACTCTTTCTATCTTTTACTTTTGTTCATGTGTTGTGGTTGCACGCGCTGCTCGGCGAATGTCGACAGACGACGGTGTGAACGTTTTATGTCTACAAAAGGGTGTGAACGACCTCGAAGCAAACGTTGGGAACAGACTGACTGAACATCTGACTGAACATTCAGAGAAACACGCCACCAGCAACCCCAAAAAACATCCATCCGTTTGCCATGCATCCGTGGGGGCCCTGGGTTACCAAGGTATCCTGGTGCCATGACCCACTGCGTCACCCCAAACTGCTTAGAGCGATGAAAATGCCTCGTTGATTCATCCCCCTGAGTGGACAACTAAGCTGTACCAAGTTACGGCCTTCCATGTTGGTTAAGGGGCCGACTACCAAAAACTATTAGTCACTCGTTTAATATTATAGGATATAGTACCTTACTAATAGGAAAAAGAACGCTACTAGGATTAAGAGCATCGCTATTAGGAGCAAGAACGCTACTAGTAGCTCCTGGCCTTACTAGTAGCAAGAAGCTACTAGAGGCTCACCTGGAATGACGGTCAAAGTAGTAGTAGCGCCAAGCATCGGTCCAGTTCCTTTCCCAAGTTCCACTGGTGGTCGGTCTCCCGGCTCTCCAGTCTGGACCTGCGCCGGTTGGACCGAAACACGACCCCCGTCGCCAAGGCTTCCCAGACCCCCTCGCGCGTGCGCTCTCTCAGCGTCCCCGTCCGGCACCCGCTCGCTTGGACCGTCATACAAACCCACCGGACGTCGCGGAAGGGTCGGAAGGGTCGGAGGGTCGGAAGCAGCACCGGTGAGTCGTTTTGGTCTTCTTTATTCCGGCCACCAGTGGAGGGGTTTGCTACATGTGTCGAGTTTCGAGTAATTATTTTTGTGACGAGCACTGCCAGGCTGGATGGCCAATCGATGCGTACGCTGGTTTCCTCCAGAATCTTCCCAATTCCAGTCCCAGACAATCCATGACACTGGAATATGGTAGAGCTTTGCAAACTAGCGATGCCATAAGCAGTTTTTTGGTGTAGTTGGTTGTTGCTATGGCTGCCGTTGTGATTGTTGTTGTTTGTTGTTGTCACTGTCCCTCTTGTTGTTCATTGATTCATTGGTCCTGTTGCCTGGCGCGCCAAAAAGACCCCTTCTATATACAGCATGCTTTTGGCGCATATGGGCAGGCAATGCCATTCTGCAGCGAGTAAATATCGAGGTGTTGATCCTCGGCAAGCCAACACATGTGGTATTTACGACGTTCTGTTTTTGCCGTGGGGTCCAAACAAACATTGGCTCATACAGTGTTTTCTTTGCCAAACATGTCGATTTGTTCCGCGGTTTTGAGCACACACTGTCAATGGACATGTTTTGTTGCTTGAACGTCCCAAACTTAAGATCCAAAATTGATCAATCATGATCAAACATCGACTTCCAGAAGGAGCTCAAAGTAGCTTATGAGGACAAGACTGATATGTCCCGGACACTCTTGATCTGCAAAACGTTAGTTCAGAGCGGCTGGTTTAAGTGGTCCAGAGGCCGAAGAAGATCCGAAAAGTATGAGTTTTTTGATGGATTGGTGATGCTGGGGGGTTCAGCAGCAGGGATTATAGCAAGTAGCAAAGTAGAATTACTCCCATTGGAGTTGAAGATGGGCAGAGGACCCAAGACCAGCTCTACAAGAAGACCAAAGCTCAATTTCACAGCGCCAGTGATGAATGAATAAGCCCCTAGTGGTTGAAACTGCACCAACGTTGCTTCTGCGCGCAGCATGGCGCAGCATGGTCCCACTGAATGAGACTGCACAGTGTGCGACCCTGACATTCCACACCTCATCGCTGGAATTCCTCTGCCAGGGCTTCAGTCCGGCGAAGACCAGCCCGCCCGAGCTGGCGAAGGTGGCTTCGAGCCCCTGGGCGGGGAGGCCAAGGTGAACGAGACCCGCTGGTGGCTGTGGTTGCTTATGGAGGTATTCCCAGTGGATCCAGCTCCCACTATAAGTAGGCAACCTGGTTCCGAAGGCTAGAACCGTAGACCTGGAAACCTTGGTCAGTGGTAAGTGGGATCCATGGTAGTATCCATGGTATATTCTGGAAAGAATTCATTGCCCCATTGGGATCTTTCTGTTTTGGATCTATTGTCTTTCTAATTGCTGTGTTTGATCCGGCCCTTATGCTTCTGATGCACTGCATTTCATGGTGTTGGATGATCACCACCTGTCATCACTGATGGTGCCAGTTTGATCTCGACGATTTGGTGTCGTCTCAATGGGAATGGTGTGCATGCTGGAGTGGTGGAAACCCGACAAGCACCGGAAGCTTTGAGGTGTGTCAGAACCAGCAAAGCACCATCGCAAATGACAGGAATCAATGTTGTGCACAACCAGTTGTTATCGGAACACCTGCCTGTAACTGTGTCACGCTTAAGTTCCGGGTTCTTCTTGTAATGCTGAAAGAACCGCCACCAGGACAAATTGGATGTGAAGATATTTGTCCAATATATAATTGGTGTTTGTTGCAGCAAGCACCTGGACAGGTGCTGAGTCTGGCAGGGTCAACTGAACACACTGACCACCACCATCGTGATGCGTCTGGACCTCTGGTCGTACCTACGGACCTGGTGGCTTCAACAAAGCGAGCCAAACAAGCACCAAGGTCATCTTCCCCCACAATCATGGAATATGTACTCAGAGTCCTTTTCCCAAACAATCCATGTATGCAATATTTACCGACATTGAAACCACTCGGAAGTAGACACATATTCAATACATGGATTGTTAGGGCTTTTGTTCAGTGTTGACCCCGGTCGTGGTTGGTAGATGCTCCCTTCGATGGGCCCCAATGCAGACATGGTGATCCGTTTGTTTTTTGTGTATTAGTGGGTTTGGATTGGAGGTGCAGTTCATTGAATTGATGTTCTTCCCCACTGTTGAGTCAACAGAAGCTCAACACTCATGTAGTTCACCTGGAAAGCACGGTGTTTTCCCCTTTGGAGCAGCAGTTCGTTGGTGCCCCTCGTGGCCGTGTGCTTCAGGCCCGAGGCCCCTTGCGGCCCTGCAACCAGCCCATTCGGCGGCACAAAGGCGGAGATGCAGTGGGGAGTTGGGTTCTTGAAAGTCTACTTTTTGGGTTCCAACATGGCCCTGAGAATCATGGTCTTCCCGCTAAGCAGGGCAGAAGTTGCTCAAAGGTTATGTGGGAAAGTACTTTTTTGTTAAAGCAATGATGGGCTGCAGCGAGATCTTTTTATGGACACACTGATCAGGGGCATGTGAAAGGATACATCGAAACATTGAGGATTCGAGGTTGCGACTAACGGACACCCGATTTCTACCGAGACAGGACACACCTCCTGATTTCTCCTCCTTTCCCGCCTCTTCGCTATAGGTATTGATCCAGACTGTTGTCTTGCTTTTCTTTTGGTTAATGTAGTCCAAATATGTGTCATGGTCCAGTGGTTTGTTGTCTACATTTGGCCCCCTTGCCTCATCCAGTAGGTCGGTAGGTTGGGTACGGCTGCTGAATGAATACACGCCGGCATGCCTAACATCGGTGTTTCGTGGTGTGTTTTTTGTTGGACCAAGTATAGACTGGTACGGACCATATCTAGAAACATAATCAGAAATTTGAAATCAGAAAGCCGCGATATTGCAGAGACATGACTATAGTCATCGTAAGGACGTTCTTTGCCTGAAAGCCGGGACCCTTTCAGACATGGGTTTGATGAAGGCAAGTTCGTAGGGTCCATGACATTCACATGCCCTGACATTCAGCTATGTTTGTGCTATTCTTCCTGTATTTGGCCTTAACAACACTCAGAAGAAAAATAGAATTATGCCATACAAGCGGATTTATTTCCATTAGATCTGTTCCTGTCCAAGGCATCATCAAATAATGTAGTGACTTGGTTTGGCAATTCCAAGTTTTTCAAATTAGTTTTCCTCCTTCCGAACTTGCAGGCAAAGACAGGGAGCTCAGCAAGATTCAAAGCTCCAATGCCACGGAGCTAGGCTGGAGCGCCTTCTGCTGGGCAGGGCATTTGTTAACCCTAGGGATCCAAGTACCTCCTCAAAAGGTACTTGGACCCTCCAAACCCACCCCAAACACCTTCTCAGAGGGTACTTGGATCCTTAGGGGTTGATGTATGTTTATGTCTGTTGTTTTCATTCTTTGCCACGGGCGTTTGCCATGAGGCTACTGGCGGCCGACCTAACGGCTGAATTGAACAGCTAGTGCTCTTTATGAGTGTCCACTTAATAGCTTCACCCACTGATGGTTGGATTTGCTCCCAATAGCCTTCCAAACGAGTACTTAAACTAGGTGCATTTGATGTGCATTTGGTGGACATAAGCCGCAATGTCGATGTGTGCGATGTGTGCGATGTGTTTGTTGCTGGGTGGCATCCTCGTTTGGAACGGGACTGGCTGGGTGGGGCTTTGGGGGATGAGAGCTGCGCCGGCCGCAGCGTAGACACGCAGCATGCCAGGGGCCTCTTCGGTGGAGCAAGAGAACCGGCCTGGTGCCAGGCTAGCAGCGCCTGCGTCAGGGGGAGCTATGCTGAGGGTCTGGTGGTTGCTAGAGCTAATTGGGCCGGAACCCATCAGGACGTTCACTTTGTAAGGAAGGTACAGTAGATGATTTGTAGTGGCTGGTTGGCAAGTATATAGACAGAAACTGTTGTTTTTGTTCAATTGTATGGGGCCTAGCAGTGGGGGATCTACTTCTACTTTCCTATGTCCATTCCTTTTTTGGTTGATTTGTGTGCATCGCTACAGATAGATCGATAGAAATTAATATCTAAACTCTAAGTATTTACCTGGACCCGACTTCAAGTACCTTAGAAAATGGGACATGACCCCATAAAAGAACAGGTACTTGTACCCATTTTCCAAGGTACGAACTGAGACTCCTGGTACTAGTGATCATGACTTAACTATGGCCCCTCCCAGACAATCCATGCGGAACATTCTTGCATTGTACATTGACTGGTAACATCCGGTAACTATGTCAGTCCCATTGGTCATGTTTGGGACTGTTGAATCATGTTTTCATCTATGTTATTGTTTCTTACTTTTCAATCAGTTCTGATGAGTTCTCGATTTGTGAACTGGTTCATATATATTGCTGCAACAGGTTTCTCTTATAGATCAGGACTCGATTTTGGACATCTCAAGAGTTGTGTTGGTCTTCCACCTCCGCCAATCCCTTGGAGGCTCCTCTTCTCACCACCACCGCGGACGGAGGCGCAGTGTGATTTGGGCGAAGGATGTAAATCTCATAGGTGTGATATATATAGGAAGAGGCAAGTAATTTTGGTTAAGGGAACAGGCAATTCTTGATGACGTGCTCTCATATCCAATGGGTTTTAGTTTGCAGAATCATATCCAGTGTGGAACCACGGTCCTCGAAACTACCTGGAGTCTCAGTTCGTACCTCAGAAAATGGGTACAAAGTACCTCTTTTTTTATGGGGTCATGTCCCATTTTCTAAGGTACTTGAAGTCGGGTCCAGGTACTTCTCATCAGATCATCATTGCACAGGCTCATCAGATCATCCGAGTGTTGTCCATCTCACGGGCTCGCCCGGTCACCTGGCCCTCCTTCAGGACGGATCCGCCCGTGCATCTCGAAAGGGGAAGTGATTGTTCTGTGTGTATGTTTGTTGATCTCTTTTCCATTTAGATTCCAGGTAAAATATATACAATGCCCATCATCTCTATATTCTTTTGAAGGGGGGGTATGTTGCTTCAGCATCACGATCGTTTCCAGGGACCAGCTGAATCCCTACCAGCCAAAGAACATGTACATCTCTTGTGGACCCAGCAGACCCAAGCAGCGTGTGACTCCAGGTCCGCTGTCTCCAAGCCAACCAGCGCCAGGTGAGCTCCGGTCCTTCTCGAAGTCCTGAAGAGGTGGTGGAGTTCTCATCCTCCAGGCTGTGGGGGTGGACGACTGAAGTGAATGCATGAAGTGAATGCATAGAGGCCGGATGCATAGAGGCCGGGCTGACACCAGGTGAAAGGAGGTGTTTGGTTTCTGTAAGTGTCCATCTATCATCAAGCAACCATATGCAACCATCAAAAAGCCATCAATCAATGGCCTCGATGTATATAGCTATGTTTTAACTGTGGAAGGCCATCAAGCAAACACAAAAACAAAGCCTCGTTTTCGTTTGTCCAGAACCAGGTAGAGGAGGGACAGCCACTGGACCTTCAGTACAGCAGATCCACTCCTTGGGGATGAAGCGGACAACGGCTGTCCCACCTTCACGACCTGCCAAACCCACCTGCTACAGCACCAAGCTGCTACACCTGTTCGGAGCGTGTCCGCGAGGGACGGAGCGTGTCCGCTAGCTTCGGGTGTTCCGTTCAGCTTGGTCTTTCAGCTCACCAAGGCAGGTCATTTTGGCCAGGTCAACAACCCCCGCACCCAACACCCGATGAGTCATGATGAAAGGTTGATGTCGACATGGATCCAGACTGTCATATATTTGCCAATCAGTTGGGGTGGTGCCAGCGGGAGTCAATATAGGCATATATATTCCAGTCCCATGGAGTGTTTGGGTTTGTGCTGCAGACATGGGCTATTTAACGGCATGAGCTAATGGCGTTAGTTTTTGCAGAATGTGGAAGACGTGACATGCGCTATTTGACGCTCCCATGAATGGCGGAAGCCTAGCTTCTTTTTGCTAAACTGCTAAGGCAGTTTCTGGGGGCAAGACTGAGCCAAGATGCTTTTTGGACTTCCAAGACACATAAGACAGGTTTCATGATTCAGGGTGACAAAAAGCAGCTAGCCATGTCCACAAACCCTGACACAGATGTCCGCCACAAACTCAGTCAGAGGATGATTGGACTCTGCCAGCCTTTTGCCAAGTCTATTTCAACATCTTTTCAAAACAACAGTCTCACACATTTTGGAGCACATATTCGTTAAACCCAAAGACACCTCAAACCTGGATCACGGTTCTTCCCATGAGGGCCCTGTGGAGCGGAATCAGCGGAACCAGCCAGCCACATTGGCTCGATGGCAGGAGTCCTGAGACGGAAATCCCAGGCGCAGCGCCTGCCTGGCGCGACTCAGGTGTTCGGGTTTGGCCGGTGTCCTGGGTAAATCTCCCCGAAACGGGCGAAGATCTTCCCGCTCCAGTCGTACCTCCCCAGAAGGTACCTCTGGAGCCCCTATCCCGGTTCCGGGGAGCCGCACATCGAGCCCAAGACTGGGGTGATGGAACCTCTAACATATGAGGAGCATCCGTCGACCTGTGTGTCTAGCGGAGCTAGTGATAAGTATATAGGTTAGTCTATTGGTGACCCAGAACGGATGATCGAGGTAGGTCTAGGTGGGGTAACCCCGGGGTTTGGATGCACTCAGAATGCCGGCTGATTTGGTATGATGTATGCTGGGCCTGGTGTATAGCGTCTATGTCAGGCATTTAATGTCTTTGTTCTGCAAGAAAAGAACTGGGGCTCACAAAGGGTGCCTATTGGAGGATAGGGGTGCCCATTATCACTCCTGGCTTGAAGATGCTTGAAGAACTTATCCGAACAAAGTGGCTCTAAGCGGGTTGACTCCATGCACCGCACCTACTGCGCCTTCCGTCTTCGACTTCGTCCCCGACTTCGCTCGAGCTTTGGGGCGCGCGTCAGGATGGTGGCCTGAAGACAGCGACCTTTGTTGCCCTTATGCAGACTTCGAGCCGCTCCCCATCCCGCGGCGCCCCGGGCGTAGCTAGGGCCAGGGCGGGTCGACCTGAGGAGAGCAGCTGTGCAGTGGACCTGAGGGGCAGAACAACCCCATGTGTTCACATGCAGGTCATGCAGGTGTGAGGTTCCGAGAGTCTAGGTTTGTCCAACGCTGCGGTGTTGACCCAAAAGATGAGAGGAATTGCAAGTGTTTGAGTCTGAGTTATTCTAGGACCTTTGTTTGATCTTGCACGAGTGTTCCAGACTGTTAGTGGTTGGCTTCTTCAAAGTCCAAGTGTTCCTTCTGGGTCCCTTTCTCCGGAGACTCTCCCTTGAGCCGCTTTCTCTTGTAGCACTCATCATGTGTTGCATGAGATCATGTGCTGGGCATGTGTGTCACACCGCGTTTTTGCTGTCCGGCATGAAGTTGTTGCACATGCGGAGGAGAATTCTTGATCGCCAAGGAGTCCTGGACGGGAGTTTTGGTGGCCTTTCTGGCCTGAAAGGCCTTAAGATGCCTTAAGTGTTTGATATGAATATATGATATGATATATAATAAATTATAACAAGCACATGAACAAACTAATAAGCGTTCCACATGGCATTTTCGCACCTCTTCCAGCCATGGACTCTCTTATTTGGGAGCTCTCCGGTGTCGTTTCCTTGCTCAACCGAGTATACCCGTGGTCTCAAGAAGGGTATACCGGGTATCAACATTGGTTCGTATGCGTACATACCGGGCCTAAATATTTGTTGAAAGGGTCATGTGACATATGTGCACCATGTTCGACGTTTTCTTTTGGGAGCGTCCAGGTAGTCTTTAGATGTCTTTAGTATTTTGTGTTTCCCAAGGATTCCCAGTTGTACACGATGTACACGTTCGTATTTTCTTTTGTTCTTTGCCGATCTTCAAGTCCCTTGGTCGGACATAGCTGCTAGGTTCTCCTCGCGTCTCACGCAGGTTATGCAGGTTGCTCCGTGCAGGTGGCTGCCAGGGTGGGCCAAGTCCCCTTGAATCGAACTGCAGGATACTGCAGGAGAATCATCCCCTCAAGTCTGTCCAGGATGGGTTTTGACTTTGGTATTTCAATTACAGTGGGTCCAAAGACTAAAAGCGTAGACCAACCGAATCTTTGTTTCCTTGTACAGTGCTAAGAAGGATCCACTGCAGGTTGAAAAAGCCACTGGGTGACTCTTGACGCATCGAAGGTGGGAAGGTCCTCCGAAAGGTCCTCCCCAGGTAGAGAGCTTGGCAGAGGGGACTTGTTTGACTCATCAGATTCGTTGGGGTTCATCACGCCTAGACTCACTAGATGCCTCCAGAATCCTTCACCTTCACGCCGGCCCAGCCTGGCCTAGCAGCAACCAGCTGTGCCCATGGATCTTTGCCAATTCGCTGGGGGCCTGACCGGTCCAATTCGATGCATCTGTGCCGAGGACGCGCGGTGGATGTGACTGAGCCGTCGACAAAAAAAGAAAAAGAAACAATGTGTGCGTCACACCCGGCTTCAGAGACCCAAATGGAACCGGGCTGGGCGACCAGACTGGAAGACGACGTACTCCTACAAACCAGGGTTGGCGTGGTGGATGTCAGGTTCCATGATGTTCCATGCGGACCTCTTCCACCAGGGTGTATGGGAACTGAAGCTAAACCACTTGGGACGTGTTCTGCTAGACCCACATAGCCACATGGGACCTGTTCTATCAAACCACTTGGGGGGCGGACTGGTGAAGCATGTGAAGGCTCCCGGCTCAAACAGGGTGATAGAACGACCAGAACCACCGGTGTGTTCAGATGGATTTTAGACTCAAACACCAGGCCAACCTTTCTTGAACGGTCTTTGAAGGCTATTGCCAGTGGCTCAGGAGGTGGACGGAGCCGGACTTGGGCACCTGGGAACCCCACCAGAGTCGACGACGGGACACGAACCGGACACGTGGTGAATTGGACACAGAAAAAGTCCTCAAAAAGTCCTGCACCTGCGTTTTGAAAACCAGGTATCGACTTGTTTTTAAGTATGAAGAGTTTGTTTGAGTCATCCAGGTACGTAGAACCAACATCCAGGTACTCAGTCAACATTAGAATACATTATATACATTTATATGCCCTGGAAGATCAACATGGAACCTGAAAACCAGTGGGTTGTAGAGGAAAATAGTCTTCCAAAGGTCCATTTCCGGGTTCCATCTTAGTCTTCCCTGGTGTACAAATGTAATATTCTTGGATTGACACGATTGGATCAGTGCCTGCCACGCCGTTCGGCCGTGCCCTGTGCTTCAAGTGACGCAGGGGGGTTAGAGCGGGACATGTGACTGGCGCTCCATGGTTCAAAGAAGCCAATCCTCCCAAAAGTATCATTTCTTCCATTCTCAAGTAGCCTAAGGAGTCGACTGTCCTCACCACTTCACCTGCATGTTCGGCGGTCGCTACCGCTCCAGCACCCCGACGCGTCGCGTCGTCTCCCAATGAAGCTGGGGCCTCAGGGGCCGCTGTGAGTGTCGCGGTTTCGTGTGGTCCACCTCGGTGAGGTCGTAGGACGTCGTGTTCGGGTCGTTGAACTGGTTGAACTGGTGCATCACATCGCCTTGTTATCCATCATCCACCTGTTAAAGTAAATCTGGGGGGGCAGTTGAAGTATACTTACGTACTGTAGTTGGTGACTTTCAGAAATTCTCACGGGTACTCTAGTATTCCGTGTTAGTTTGCTCTCGATGCTTTTTCCTTAGGAGGTGCCGCGTGGGTGGAGAGCAAGCGTGGTGCTTTGACAGAGAGACCTTTTTTTCCCCAAACAGTGGGCACACTGATCGGGTTCTTACGGTAGGAGAAAGAAAGGTGTGCTTAGATCGCTGTTCTGCGCGGGCGTGTCCGGCTAATTCGCTGCTATTTACAGTACATTCATGACTCTCGACATCGTCCATGTGCCTGTGTGCGCTTGGAGCCTAGGTGCTGGTGCCGCTGCAGGGTGACGCTCCAAGGTCCATGGCTTTGGAGCTTGGATGGTGTTGCCTTTGGAGGCTGCCGCTGCAGGGTGTTGCTGCCAGATGACTGCAAACACATGCACCTTCCTGAAGTTCGGATTTGCACCTATCACCTCAACAGTGAGGCCTTCAAGGAAGCACATCGCGTCACAAAAAAACCGCTCGTCCGTATGAGTCTATTATGGGAGAGAGCGCGCTTTGGAGCCTGTGTGAGTGCTGGTGCTGCTGCAGGGTGCCGCTGCAAGGTGCTGGCCAAATGTCAGTGGCCGTGTGTGCTTTGGAGCTTGGGTGCTGGCTGCAGGGGCCCGCTCCCTGCAGGGTGTTGCTGCATGTTGCTGCCAGGTGTATATGACCGTGTGCGATTTGGAGCTTGTGTCCTGATGCCGCTGCAAGGCACCGGCCAAATGTCCAAATGTTTGTGCCGTGCGGGTTCGGGTGCCATGCAAGGTGCTGCTGCAGGGTGTTGCTGCCAGATGTGTATGGCAGTCTGCATTACGGAGCCTGTGTGCTGGTGCCGCTTTGGGCGTTGCCTGATGTCTGTGGCAGTGTGCGCTTTGGAGCTTGGGTGCTGGGGTCGCTGCAGGGTGTTGCTGCCAGATGCGCGATTTGGAGTGTGGGTGCAACCGCTATGCTGCCAACAAAAACCGTCGCTATTTAAGGTCTTTGCTGGCGTATATGCCGGCGTCTTTTTGTAAGGAAATGTTCATGTGTGTTTGGGAAAAGAGAGTGAATTTGAGGAAAAGTACATACCCGAACACCCGGCTTGGAGCTTCGCCACTAGGTGGCATAGCACAT